CAAATATAAGCAAGTAAAGAAGATCAGGAATGGCCTAGAAGTGTGAGTTTGGCTTGTTGTGGGTGTGATTGGGATATTTTAGGGGGGAGGGGTGTTCAATGCATTACCTCCTCTAGTTCAGTAATCATTTGGAACTCCATTCAGGTCCAAATTCACCCACCCTTCATCCCCCTTCCATTCAGATCCCTCTGCACCCCCTCATAATGAAAAGAAACAGGGTCATGGTGTCTGTGTGTGTGTCTGTGTGTGTGTGTGTGTGTGTGTGCGTGTGCATGTAGACAATGAGGCAGATTGTGTGTGTGATCTATATTCCAGTGTTCTAGATTCAGTGGCTGTGTGCTAACACGGCAAGCCGGCTTATCAGTGGGAGACCCGTTCCTTCTGTCCTCCAGCGAAGACCGAGACGGATGCGCACATATGTGAATGACGAAAGAATGAACACACATGCCTGGTTACAACAGATGAAAACAAAGCATCAGGGTCCGAAGTGAGAGTTTCATTGCTCAGATGTTCTTCTTTCACAGCTCAGGAGACTTAACTATGTTCTTATTTATTCTTAAAATATAAGATGATTCTGCTAAAGTGTCTTAAGAGAAATGAAAATGAACATATTTGTTGACAGGGCCACCGTTGGGGGACTATGCATCTGTATATCGAATATTCAATATTATTCAGCTATTCAATTTATTCGGCTATTCGATTTATTCAGCGATGATCAATCAAATTGATCAAAAGTGACAATAAAGACTTATATTTCAAAATATTTGCAAATTTTTTTTTGCTAAAAAAAATATATATATTATACTAAACTTCTGTTTCTAAAAAAATATTTTCAGCCTTCATAATAAGAAATTATCATAATCAGTATATTAGAATTTCTGAAGGATCATGTGACACTGAAGACTGGAGTAATGATGCTGAAAATTCAGCTTTGCATCACCGGACTAAATGACAATAAATAAATCAAAAATAGAAAAAAGTTGTTTTAAATTGTAATCATATTTCACATTATTACTGTTTTATTTTTTATTACATTAATCTATACTTGGTGAGCATAAGAGAAAAAAGCATGACTAAATCCTTATCCCATAGATCTCTTTATTTGGAGAAACCATTGAGTTTATATTGAAATCTTTGACTTTTTATTGCAGGCTCTGGAGGGGTCTTTTTCTCAGGAGAAATCTGAGCAAAAGCCTCTGTTTTAACTCATTGCCTTCTAGAAGAAACAGTTGAAATACTACAGGGATTTCATTTGTAATTTTTCTTTCCTTTCCTGTTTGCTTGTGTATTAGAGTAGTAACAAAAACTTTCGGATCTTGGCAAATCTGAGCACATTTTGAGACGCTATTGAGAAATCTCATTTGTGATTTTTGTTTCCTATGAGCTTGTAGAGTAGAAGCAGGGCGGATGCCTCGGATGAGCTGATCATATAGGAGAGCTCCTTGGTAACCGAAGCACAGATGAACAGAGGGGCATATACTACACCCCTCCCTCCAAGCCCCAGGGAGTGTGTGTGTGTGTGTGTAAGGGAGGAGGAGGTGTTTCCCAGGGTTGGGTTGAGGGTGTGTGTGTGTGTGTATGAGTAGGAGGGGCTCATTGTTGAGGCGATAAGCGTTGATCAAATGGGGAGAGGCACATACTGACTTGTTGGCAAAAGGACACCGGCTTGTCGACACAGTAGTCGTCCAGCGCTCCCGTGAACTGGGAGGCCGTCACAATTCTACACAGGGTGGTCCACCTGCCTCACACACTCTGGAATAATGGTGTTCATCGGGACTTCACTCAAGTCAGTCATTAAGTACTTCAAACGGAAGGGTAAGAACTCTTTGGCCATATTTTTTCAGTGCTGATGGAGATCAGACTGGTTTCTAGTTAGTTTTCTGAACTTGTTTAAATAGCTATGCGTTTTGTTAATCTCTCAGCTTGTGGTTTCTTTTAATTTGAAGGGATTTCATTGAATGTGCCAGGACTTTGGTTGTCAGGTGTGTAAGTTCAGAGTTCATATAGAGCTGTAAATCTGTATTTCAACATGGACAGATGAGTCATTTCCTGTACACCTAATAGAAAACCTAAAACAAACATGTTAACACCTTGATGCTGTATATGATGACCAGAGAATGACCAATGACCATGTATGAACAATAGTGTGTGTGCATCTTTTTTTATACCTACACTATTTTCAAATATTTACATTAGACATGTGCTGCAGAATATTAGTTCTTTATCAGTTATCAGCCAATAATAGTTTAGTTTTATTTATAGTTTAAAAAAACATATATTCTGTATTGGTCAAAATTTAATGTGCATTTTCAATTCCCTCTTATTTTTACATCTTGTTTTCACTTAGTTCATCTTTAATAACACAAATATTTTAATAATATTGTTAATTGATGTAATTTAAAAAATATATATATATTTTGTTAACGGATCTCAAAATATTTCATTGAATATTATTTTTTATTAATAAATAGTATATAATTTATAGTATAGAAATAGTATGTAATATTACAAATTAAGAAAAATAGAAAAGAATATTACAACTTTATGATATTAAATATTTTAAAAAATATTGGTTATAATATATTTTTATGTCTTAACTCTTTATTAACTCTATATCAGCTGTTTTGAATAATGGTTGTATACAATTTGCACTTGAACCAGAAACTGGTTGATCTACCATGTACCTTTAGTTCATTGACATAAAATACCGTATTAGCTAAATTAAAAGGCAAGCCTTAAATAAAACATAATCCAATGTTAATAATCATTTTTCATAAATATTTTTTGTTTGATATTGATATCTCAGGAGTACAGAGCACAATTAACAGATTATAATATTATTATATTATATATTGATAAAATAATTATAAATTAAATTAAATTGTGATTCATTTTTAATTATGATCATTTATCTTTTGAGCTGAAATTTGGTGAATGAGCTCATTTTATTTCAGTGCTACACGTGGTGGTAACTGCAAAGTGTGTGTGTTTTGTGCGGGTACGAGCAGAGGGACCAGAGGGATTATGGGAGTTTTCAATAGGCTGATTCTGAGTGCTGAGCTCAGGCTGATGTGGAGATTGATGTTGGGCACAATGCAGGTTTTTGTTCCTGCTGCCGCTCTCCTCACTCCCCGAGAGCACACAGACAGGTTTAATGGGTTGGGGACCGGGCTATCTGAGTGCGAGTGTGTGTGTGTATTGCCCATTCTAGAATCATCTGATATTTACTGTAGGCACTTCAAAGGGCTTGCTCACTTTTATCTCTCCTACTGAGAGTAGTAAGGTTGTTTAATGCTGTTTGTGAATCTGGTTTTGTCATCCTGCAAATGGTCCTCTTGATAGAATGAACACATTTCTGTTTGCACTGATTCTGTGTTGGTCTGGTTATGTGACAGTGTTGGCTGGTTGGTAGATTATTGACCTGTTTTGTTGTTGCCATACCTATGAAGCCATGATTACATAACATTTAGGTACTAACCCTAGGCAAAAGAACAAATTTAATGAAAACTCAATGCATCAATATTTCCGACTGTGGACACGTTCTATGGACAAGTCTGTGATTTGTTTTTTTGTTCAGAATAATACACAGCTAAGAGCTAAATGCCTCTGCACTTTGGAAGCTGGATGTTTGGTGGCTCTCACAGACTTTAAGCAGGTCATTTATGTCCTAAACAGAGAGATTCAGCACTTGATGATCAGTGTCGTTCAGTTTACAAATGGCTTTTTCTACAGTACTTAATGCCCTCTGCATCCTCCCATGTGTTTGACTGCTTTGTCCCGCCTGATGTCTGCACGTTCACAGATGATGCCTTTGAGGAGAAAGCGTCCCTTTGAAGCCCAGCATTGATTTGAACAATAAGTTCAAAGATCCAGTGTTGTGGTTAATAAACAGAGATAAACCTGGAGAAGGAATAAAAGAACATGTTTTCACACTTGGTTTGATTCCCCTGAGATCGAGTCCACCACCTTCCCCCTGCCCATAATTTGTTTTCACATTGTACTTTAGATCCAAACAACTGTATGTTAGCATCATCACTGTCTCTTCATATATATATATACTGTATATATATATATATATATAGAGAGAGAGAGAGAGAGAGATATTTGTAAATAGAAAAGTGATTTAAATAAAAAAAATAAAAACATTTTGTATTTTTGATCCAATAAATGCAGCTTTATTTGTTCATGAGGAGCTTTTCAAAAACATTAAGATTTTTTACTGAACCAAAACTCTTTTCACGGTAGTGTATTGCACACTATTATTCTAGGGCTTTTTTTTATTTCTTTTACTTTTTTGTGAAATTCTCGCAATGGCATTTGGCCTGAGTGATACCTGAAGCTGTGCACAGAAGCCCTTGATAGATTCATTTGCTGTCACACATCATCATGTGTTAGTCTCTCTGAAGAGGGAGTAAGAAATCACTTCTATATTGAAAGTCCTGATGCCTCATGAATGAAGACAAAGGCCTCCCGTGGGCTCCGCTTGTCAGTCTGGCAGCTCTCACATGATGGGCCATCACGGCCTAATGGCCCAGTGCCACCTGTGGACAGAGCTCCTCGCACCTGTGAGAGAACCCCCACCTCTGCTCCTCTACTTTCCCTTCCTCTCACGTTATAACGTCCAGCCTGTTGTTCTTGTTTGTTTGCTGTCGGGACAGCTGGGGGTTCGAGCTCCAGGGGTCTTTCCTTCAACATTCCCCATGGCTCATTTGCACCTCTGCTAGGTAGTTTACTGGCCTTCCTGTTCACTTTGGGTCACTCTTTGGTTCCAGTTTTTAGGGTTCACTGACTCAGTTAAAAGTGTAGCAGAGTTTAAAACAAAAAGAGCTCTGTTTTGACTCACGGTGAGTCCACAAATGGACACATTTGGCGGCTATTACATGCATTTGGCAAAACGTGGATGCGTTGCGTTGAGTTTTGCTAGAATAAACAGCTACACTTAGGTAATTTGAAATGTTTATTATGGCATATTAATCATTTTAAGTGTCTTTCTTTTTTAGCTGTATCTAATCTGGATGAAGAGAAAAAGTGGACTGTGCACTACACGGCTCCATGGCACCAGCAGGAGAACGTCTTTCTGCCGGGCTCCAGACCGGCCTGCGTGGAAGACCTGCACCGCCAAGCCAAAGTTAACTTGAAAACAGCTCTCAGAGGTATGAGCCGCACACGCCAGAATCAACCTCAAACCTGCTGCAGTTCTCATGAGATCAGCATTGCTATGGGAACAAACACACCGGGCAGCAGGTGACCGTGCCCACGATGTCACTCGTTGTTCTAAAGTGCACACTGGACACCTGTGAAACGGCCTGTTGGTGACGTCCAGGGGTCGATTCAACAGTACAGCTCAGAGCAAGGTTCAATTAGCAGATTCTCAAGACTGGTCTAACAGTGCAGGTGGCTGATGTGAAGCCTGATTAATTATACAGGCACAGGTGTGTAGCTCATATTACTCTATTAGAGACCTCAAGCCTTCAGATGGCAGAGAGGAAGACTAGAGGACATGAGGACAGGTAGAGCTGCACCATCAAACACTTTTCCCAATGCTGTTTATTCTTCCCATTCACTTGTTATGTCTTTTCTTTCCTGGCAGTCTCTCTTTGGTTAGGAAAAGAACTCTTGTCTTAGTGCTTAAACAGGCTTATTCTGCCAAGACAAACAACACTAGGCACATGTAGATCAGAGGAAGTTCACAGGTGTCTTGAATGTTTAATGACAGGTTAAAAAGCGTTTGTAAACCTGCTCGTCTCTATTTAAAGTCTTAGCTGATGGATAGGTGTTGAAGGAAACCGTAAAGGATTAGCAAACAAAATAAATAGTGGCTTTGGAGAATTAGAGGAAGACATTTTAACAGTCTGGCTGTTTTAGTCATTTTAGACTCTTGATTTGTCTCCTATGTGCATTGCTCTTGTGCAAATATGTGGTTTGATTCTTTTTGCCCATCTATGGCATTTTTTAAAGCTGACGAGTGCAATTTTTATGTTAAATATTTTTCCCTATTTTCAGTTTAATATGCAAAGACAGCCAATAAGTAAGCCACTCTGATTTCTCCAAAATTGTAAACACTATGGCTCTGTTTGAGCATCTCGGCCAGCCCGACAAAGCAATTATGAGATTTTGTTTTCTGACCATTGGCGGATAAGGGAGTAGTTTGTGAAAACTTTGCAAAACAAGTCAATATTTTAGCAATTTGGTTTGTTGCCGTCAGTGGCACATAAATTGCACACTTCAGCTATTTAATGGAGTGCATCGCACAGCTGCAGTGAAGTGTCATAAAACAAACATCAGGAAGTAATGAAAGCAGATGAGCATTACTTTTTTGTCAGCAGAGAGACTGCTGGATTCACTTGACTGAATGACTGAAGGGATTGTGGGATGTGTGCCAAAGGGATGGAGCTGCCATCTGCAACAGTTAGCTTAGAAAGTCAGCATGATGCAGTCTGTCACACAGACACACATACAGAGCAGAACAGATCTCAGTCTACTACTCTTTTCTAATCTCTAGTTCTCTCTCAACCGGAATATCTTTTGTAAAGGTGCTGCTAAACATAAACTTGAATTAAATTATCTTATTATTAGTTGGATCAGATAATTTGCATCATTCGTCATTTTCATGAAGACCTACAAATGGTCATTTCTCTCTCAAACCACTAGAGGGAGCTAAATCTGCTTCTATACTTCAATTCATGTTTGAAAGTTCCTAAAAACTTCCTTTCGGGCTGGTCCTGATGTTTCTGCTCTTTCTGCTCTGTTCCCACAGAATGTGATAAACTGAGGAAAGATGGTTTCCGCAGCTCACAGTACTACTCACAGGGACCCACCTTCTCAGGCTCCTCAAACTCGCAACACGAGGACGAGGACATCGAAGGGGATGACGCTGATAAAAAAGTAGGCCTATTTAACAAAATATCAGAGACCATATGTAGACCATATTTTGCTTTTTTTTGTGTGTTGTTCTGGTTATTGATGTTGACTTGATATTTTAAACAGATTGAATTCTATGTAATAATAATCATATAATTATGTATCTGCATATTATATAATAATGATTATTATTATTATGCACTTCATATATAGTTTTTTCCCTATACTCTTTTTCCTATGCCACGTTTTTTTAAATGTGCTAAAACATTTCTGAGGCCTGATTTTTTTTTTTTTTTTTTTTTTTTTTTTAGATGAATTCACGTAATGTAAAGGAATTTTTTTGTTAGTATAGGTTTTCAATATTTGCCACCATATTGGTTATTGGCTGTAAAAATAATTAATTAATAAAAAGAGTGATCTGTTATCAAATCAGATCAGAAAGCTGACTGTGTAGCACCCTGTGGGATTTGTCTGCCCTCTGCTGGAGAGAGTGTCTGCCTGCAGATGGGCTTCTGGGTACTGAATCACAGCTTCCCACATGTTCCGAGTTCCCGCCTCAGTTCTTCAGTATCTCTGCTGGCTTCATTAATGTTGTCAGCCATGTGTGGCCCCATTATGAGAGCTGAACCTCAGGAGAATGACACTCTAATTAAACTATTATTCACAATGTGTTAAAATAGTTATTTACTGAGATATTGCGATTTAGAAAGCTGCTGTTTAGCTTATGAGCATTGAAGACAGGTTTGAAAGTAAGGGGATTGAACGGATTCAATAGGACACTCATAAACGTTTTTAGCAAGAAATCATGCGGTTTTGTTTATAGCACACCATACCCTTGCCCTCATTCTCCATCCTTTCTTCATTGCTCCTCATCACACTGCGTTCAGGGGCCCTGGAAAGGTCAAACACAGTAAAAGCAAAGATTCGGGGGTCCTTTTGTCCTCCTGCTGCCCCCGGCCCACCCTAAAGGATCTCATGCCCTTTTAACCTCCTTCACCACCCTAGACCTGCTTTCCCAGCCCACTGGGATGAGGTTAACTCAGGTTACAGTGCTGGACTGGCCTTATAATTCTGACTGAAGAAAAAGTGTTTGCTGCTTAAAGTTTTTGCTGCTTTGTTTTATTTTTGACTTTTTTAACTTGTTTAACTTTTTCTCTTCATCCACATTAGATACAGCTAAAAAAGAAAGACACTTAAAATTATTAATATGCCATAATAAACATTTCAAATTAAATGTAAACCTAAATGTAGCTGAAAAATAAATAATATTCATTAAATTGTTTTATTGGAGCAGGCTAAAGTGACAATATATAACAAAATTAGCTTTTGTCAAAAGTACCTACCGTACTGAAATTTTTAAAATCTGCATTTTGAGCGCTGTTGAACGGATTCTTAAACGCCTCTGATTCGCCATTGTGTTCACGTGCTCAACATACATGTCTCTGATTGGCCATTGTGTTTCACGAGCTCAACATATATGTCGGTGATTGGCTACAGTGATCAACGCTTCAAACACATGTTGGAACATATACATAATACATATATTTATTCATTTATTATGTCTGTGTGTTGTAAATAGACCTGTCCGTGTGCTTACAGTTACAGCACACAGGAGCGTTTGAAAAAGCAGGCGTCTATCATCAGCGGATCCCCAATATATCCGCTGATAGACGCTTGCTTTCAAACACTCTTGTGTGTATTTCGTGTAAGCGCTCGTGAAGCGCGTCAAACACGATCAGCCAATTACAGACATATATGTTGAGCGCGTGAACACAGTGGCCAATCAGAGACATAATGTTGAGCGCGTGCGAATCAAAGTTGTTTCAGAGAATGTTGTTTACTAATAACGTTAGTCCGTTCAACAGCGCTCGAAATGCTAGAGGGAAATGTTGGTATCGTCACATTTTTTTTCAATTTCAGCTCCGACTTGGTACCGAAGTTTTGACAACACTAAACAAAATATTCAGAAGAATCACAGTATTGATTTTATTTTTGTTTTATTATTTCTTTAGTTTTAATCAAGGCAAGAGTAACACTGGAATATATTTGTTTATGGTTTAATTGGCCACAGTAGCGGTTTTAGGCACGGGCGAACCGGGCTGTCGCCCGGGGCGGCATTTTTCCATGTTACATGGGGGGCGGCACGGGCAGTTAAAAAAAATCCTCTGCGACGCGAAGGTTTTCTATTTTCTATCATTTCAATTAAATTATTGGCAATGGCGCCCCTGCTTGCCGAGAAGGTGCCGTGCACAGAAGCGATGTCAAGGGAGTCTCCTGATTGGAGCTAACTCACCAAGGGGCCGTTCACATATCGCGTCTTTTGCGCGCTCGAGGTCGTTATTTCAAATGTAGGCGCACGGGAAGCGCGCTCATAATTGAAGCGACGCGCTCATTTTTTCCAGGAGAAGCGAGATGAATTTTTTTAAACTTTTCAGTATGGGGGTGCACCCAAACACGTGGGTGTTTTTCTCTTCTCCGTAAATAAATCTTTTAGCAGAGCTACAGCAAGCGTTTTTCTGTGGTGGAAATCCATTAGCTACTAAAACTTCTTTGTGTTGTGGTCAGCGCAGTGCATGGTTGTATAGCAACGACAGCCATGGGAAAATCGGACCGAATTTTACTATTAATAATAAAAGATAAGATACTGTGCATTAGAAATGCCAGGAATGTATCTTTATTGACTCATTCTTTTTATAAAGATGATTTAAAGGCTGAAATATGTGAGGTTTATCTTTTTATAAAACCTTTTTTGTCAAAAGTTTATTTGAACGTGTACATGTTAGTAGATAACATAAAAGACACTCCTTTAAAATTTGGCCTTCATCTTTAATGTTATTAACTTGGTGAATTGATTTCATTGTGTATTAGGCCTACTTTTTGAACAAGATTCTGTGTTTAACCATGAACATTTTGGTCACTATATTCATGAAATGAAAATAATTTTCATAATGATCAACTAAAATCAACTATAATTATGTTTTTTTACAGTAGCCTATAATATGCAAATTATAATTAAAAAATAATCTCTGATTCTGTCCTTTTCTCTGACATTTAAGAGTGACATAGGCCTACAAAAGCTATTTTAGGTCTAAAACAGTTTGGATAGTTGTTAATATTAGAGTTATTAGAAATTATTTAAGAGATAAGTATTGTGTTACTACATAAGTAGCTCTCGGCCACTTTCACTTTTAAAAACTCTATTTGGTGACAAAGTATAGTTTAACAAGTCATAACTAAAAGTGTGCCATGCATAGAATTCGAGGCAGTAACCAATGAGCTAATGGTTCCTCCCTGAAAGTTAGATTAATATAGCAAAATAACTGGATTCTCTTACTGTGTTTTTCAAATGAACGGTATGTGATTTTATTGTTGTGGGGGGGGGTTTGGGTTTGGTGGTGGTGGTGGTGGTGGTGGGGTGGGGGGCGCTCGAAGGGGGTCTCGCCCAGGGTGTGATTCAATGTAGAACCGCCACTGATTGGCCAGTTATAAAGTTTTAAAGAACTATGGGGTTACAAAGAAAGAGAAAAGTTTTATTTTCAGAACAAAGAAACTATTCTTAAGTTGTCTTCCTTTTTTGTGCAAATCAAGGTCAGCTGTCATTCAAACATTTGATGATAAGAATTGGTCACTTGTAAAATGTGATGTATTCGTAATACTCTTTATTTCACACTGAAAGTCAATCCACTCTGACAGAGGCAGGACAGGTAATAAAATGTTGAAACAAAAAACAATACCTCAGGCAGTTGTGAATAGGTTTTTGACTATTGGTAGTGACCTGGATGTATAATTAAATGTAGTGTATGGTTTAATTATGTTCGGTTTGTTTGGGAGGCTGAGGGAGGCCCAGGTGTTGGATTGAAACTTCAGATGGTCCACTTGTAACTCTGCGAACGGCGTTCCCATTTCAGAATCACAATGCGTGAACAGAGTTTTAACGCCTCGCTGGTTTTCCCCCTCTCTCTGCTCCCGTTCTCTATTCTTATTGTCTCTATTCTAGTTTCTCAGTGTGTTTATGTGTGTGTGGTTTGATGGTCAGTTGCCCGTGAAAACACTCTGTATACTCCCGGAGCTCCTATAAGTTGGGGCACACAATCCTTAAACAACCATTGACTAAAGCTAAAGAGAAATAAGGGGTGTAGCAGCTCTGAGTCTGAATATTAATGCCCTACTAGTTTACTACTCCAACATTTTCTGTTTACTTATCTCTATTAGCCTACTGCAGTCATGAAACTCACTGTATTTTTTACATCTTTTCAGTCTACAGCATCTTCAGGAGAGGAAGAGAAAGACTCCTGCCAAATGAGAGCACAAAGTCCCGCACAGGAGGAGGGTGTTGAGGTTGATGGACAAATGTCATGGTCCAAAGCCCCGCCCCTGCCCACTCCAGAAGAGAAGATGAGGCAGCAGGCTAAGGCTGTTCTCACAGATATTGTCCCCATCGATGTCACAGGTAAGAAATATATCCCATCAACTGTCAGTCAAACATGCCAGCACTGTAGAAACGTTACAAAATGTCACTTTCATGTTGTGTCTCCGATGAGTCCCTATGTTTGTCAGTCTAGAATTCAAATTGTTGGTCTGTGTTATGTTACATTACTTTCATGTGGATCTTTCATTAAAATCTTAGAAATTGTAACTGGAATTTATTTGTAATTCCTCATAAATCATTCCTAACTGATTTGTCTGTACCTAACATTTGAGCACTGCATGCATGATCACTACATACCGCCTGTTCTGGATGTATAACCACATGGATGGATCTAACATGAATGTGTCTGAGTGTATTAACAGTTCTCATATTAACAGTTCTGTCATTTCCTTCTATCTCTTTGACCTTTGAGAGTCATCTGTTTGAGCATTCAGTCTCCCTGCCGATGCATAAATTCAGCTGTGCATCACTATGAACAACTAATCCAAAAGAACAGTCTTTCCTACTAGTCTTCTTCAGACAGAATAAGCTCTCTATGTCCAATCCCTTTAAATAATTCTGAACTTCACTATGACTCAGGAAGAAGCTGTATTAAACTATAAAGCACTCACAAATACACACCACACACTAATTCAGTCTGTCAGCTCCGTGACTTAGTCAGGCATCCCAGCGTGCTGAGGCTTAGTCAACGGTGCCCAGTCTCTGGGGTTCCCTTGCTTTTGCAGTGCTACAGCACATCTTGCAGCACAAAAGTGCTTTTATATAAAATACTGTTTCTAATGATATATTTCAAACCAGGGGTTTCCTCTTCATATACTACGTATAGAGGAAGATCTTTGTATTTAGATAGAATTCCCATTAGTGTACAACAGATCAGAGTCGTAACCACTATACTGCCAGGCAAAGGCAAACGCAGTATTTGCATATATTGTCAACTGAATTACTTAAATCAGTCAGCACCCAATATTAAGGTTTAATATTTGAACAAGATGGGTGGTTTTAATGGCTGTTTCTGGAATTTCTGTATTTTGTAACATATAGCTACTTGCTTTCTTGACACAGACACACTTAAGCACAGACACACTTAAAACATGAGTGTAGATATGAATGCAGTTTTGTTTTTGTCTTTTTTCTCATTTTAGCCTGGTTTTCACACTATTTCGCTTATGCAGAATGTGTGGCTCTGCTTGAAAGTTTACTGGTACACTATCCGTATGTGTGTGTGCTCTGCGTGTGTGATGCATGTATGTTACTAACTGGCCCTTTTGCCTGTCTGCCCTCGTCAACTGGTCTCCAGGGGAGACGTTTGACAGGCAGGCCAGCATTCGCCGCTCCCTAATAAACACTGACACTCTGGTCCGCCGGCCCAAGAAGGTTAAGCGAAGAAAGACTATTTCAGGGGTGCCTGACAGCGTCCAACAGGAACTAGGTATGGTATGGCTTTGCCAGCTTTCTGTGCTGCTGCTCCTGCCTCACCTGTTTCCATTTAGATGACTGTGTAGTCATCTTCATGTAGTACTGTAGTTGTCATCACCATATAGTGTAGTTTGTCATGACCCTGCCTCTTTCCCATCTCAATGCAATTTCTGTGCATTGATTTTAGAAGTCTTAGGATCATCCTAATCTGAGCTCTTTGACTTCTCAATTCAAAATAAATTCCAAATTACTGTCTTATACGTCTATTTTCAAATCATCTATTGATTTGCTAATCATTACAGAATCTCTCATGCCCTAAATGTGGATTTCTTGCATGCATACTCTCAACGCTCCGTTATATAATCTCAGCATCCAACAGCTGCATCCCGCATTCCATTTCTCACCACTCCCCTGGGTCATGGTCCCTGATTCTATTTAGTTTGCTTCCTGTTAGTGTATGTGAGTGCTCCTATTTGGAGCCATTGTTGGAGATGGCATGCCACATTTTGCTTTGCAGCCAACTGAAGCCACTGCATAATCCCCTATCCAGATTCTTCTGGCAAAACACTTCATATTTTATCAGGAGAGTAATGGAGGGGGGGGGGGAAGGGAGAGTTAAAATAGATGTAGTATAAGTAAAAATAGTGCAGATAGTCCTCGTCGGATTTTTTTTTTTCTGTTATGCGGAAGTATATAAGCAAATTTCATATAATTTTCAATAACACTAGCATACTGTTAAAATGCCATATCTGTTTGCGCTCATGCCAGATTATGGGGATTGTGGAAAGGGCATTCTGTATCAGTCTTTGTATTTGCTATTTGTAGATATGCTTTTAATGAGGTCTTTACAAGAACAGATGGGTGTGGGGGATAAATAGAGTGTCAAGCTCTTTTAAGATATTTTGCTGATAGCAATGCACAATAAATCTGCATTAAGTCCCATTCTGTTGTTTATACATGCAGGGGTGAGGGCTAACTTCATGCACCAGTGTCCTATCCCTGGCTCTAAAACTTAAGCTGATCTGATAGAAATGCTTTTAAGACACGTTTCTGTCTGGCAGTTAGAATGTCATGATTACTCTTGTATGGTAATTTATTCTCTAACATTGAGCGTGACATTAAGAAGATGCAAGGTTGCACTTTGCTGTGTGTGTATTATGGTAACAGGAGGCGTTATACATTAACAGCCTGTGGTTTTCAACTAAACACTAGAAATGTGTTTGCATGCATAAGCCCATAAAGATGTGTGGTTTGTGTGAGAGAGTGTTGTGGTACTGCTAGACCATCTGCCTGTCCTCCTTCGAGCACCAGCTTACTAAGATCATTGACTTAGTGCAAACTCTCAGTGACACTCAGGAATGGACAACAAATTTGGTGCCAGCCATTAAGTTATCAACCTTAATCAAAGTTTCCAGAAGTCATCAACATGCCACATGTGGCTCAAGATAATCTAATTAGCTCTCAATAGAGAGGGTTAATCTGATTGGCAGCTGATGTCACAAAGAGATGTAGGGGAGAGAAGCAGAAAAACAAGCAGCTGTAGTACTTGTCATAATTGTCTCCTTTCTTTTTTTCCCCTCTGTAGCAGCTAAAGGGCGCGGAGGAGAGCTTCGGCCACAGTCCATGTTTATCCCTGGACAGTATTCAACACTTGGGCGAGTCATGAATAGGAATTCGACTCTCCGTCGATCTATAACAAAAGATTCTGGCTGCCAAACTGAGGAGGTGAAAATTGTCCCACCCTCTGTGAGGAGAATACGAGCTCAGAAGGGCCAAGGAATTGCTGCTCAGATGGCCGGCATCTCCACTTCTGCCATGAACATCTCTTCTGTCTATGATGGGAGCTCCCCTGGAAGTTCTATTGTTGTAATGGAACCACAGTTTGGCAATGATATCCAACGTTTTCACAGCTTGCCACGAGGTGCACGGGTCTCTCTAAATGCAGAGCCCCTCTACAGTAGCACCCCTTTCAGGCAAGAAGACTCCACTGCAAAAGCACCTCAGCAGATTGGGAAATTACAAGTAGATGAAACCGTGGTGCACATGAGGAATGCCCCCAGGGTATGTAACCAAGCCCGGCCAAAATCTCAGGAGGTGAGGGGTACTCAAAAGGAGTGGGGATCTGTCTCAGGTCCAGCCTGTGTAGTTTCTCCACATGCAGCCTACTCAACCTCCCTTATACCTAATGCTACTTTGTCATGTTCTGCTGAGGTTATTGCACTTCACACCACATCAAGCCCTGGCCAGAGCCCACTTGCTGGGTCACCATACACTAAAGCTAGACCTCTTAGCATGGTCTCAGCTGTCAACAGTGAGAGCACTAGTAGTGTAGGCACAGGATCACACACACCAGAGTCAGGCATGAAGGATACCTGCAGTGAGACTGGCCAGTCTGATAGTAGTTTGCACAGCCACAGCACCATTGCCGCAGGAACATTGTCTTCAGACGAGCAATGGATTTACGACACTCCTGAGAATGTCTTGCCCAGAAGGACACTGACTTCCAGCAGCTCAACACCTATAAATCATCTCTATAGTAGCCTTGAACGCTCCTCAAAAGGCACAGACTCTAGTTCACTCTACTCAATGGACAATGATGGCTACTACACTTCCATGCATCTGGATTCAGGTCTTAGGTCAAGGAGCCAGGGTAGTGGCCATGGTCATGGTATAGGAGGAAGAGCAGCAAGACACAGTATGTACGAGTGCCTGGGTCAGCAAGAAGACAGAACCAGCTTGTACAGTGACCACTCACTGTCACGCTCCATCTCTCTACGCAAGCCTAAAAAACCACCTCTTCCACCAGCACGGACAGACTCCCTACGACGAAAACCTAAGAAAACCAGCTCCCCTACTGCCAATATTGGAGGGTCAGATATTCGCAATGGTTCTCTTCTCAATGAGTCACTAATTGCCACACTCCAACAGTCACTTCAGAATGGGCTGAAAGGCAAAGGGTCCTCCACCTCACCATCTCACAGTCCTTGTAGTGACTATGAGGACCCCTGGATGCTTCGTCCCAGGAGCCAGAGCAGCATCAGTGCAGGCAGCAGTGGTGTATCTGCAGGAGGGATGGCTCATGTGTACTCCATCTGTCATGTCACACCTTCTCATAGTGACACTAGTAGCCTCCGTTCTGATTATGCAGACTCTTGGGGCTACTACATGGATTATCCTCGTCCATCTGGAGATCAAACACAGTCACCATGCACCAATTCACTTTCTGCTGGACAAGTGGTTGAGATGGTAAATGGAAGAAGCCTCCACAATGGTAACCAGGCTACTCTTCCTCCTGCTCAGGAAGGAAGTGTAAAGCCCAGAACAGGCACCTCATCGCCAGACAGGGTACATCGGTTGACTTCTCCATCAAGTGGATACTCAAGTCAATCCAACACTCCAACAGCTGGCACTCCCGTCCCCTCTTTTATGAGATGCATGTCCCCATCAGGCAGCAAGCCCAAACCCAGAGTGCCTGAAAGAAAGTCATCCTTGCTCTCATCTGTGTCCATATCCTCTTCTTCCACCTCTCTTTCCTCTAACACCTCTGATTCCAACAGGAACAATATTCCTCCTCCACCTCCGCTTCCAGCTGCCCCTGTGGCTCTTATACCTTTCAATGCTCCGTCCTTTCCTCCTCCCCTTGCGCCTTCCAGCCCTGTGTGCACTGCAGACCAGATTTTTCCTCCTCCGCCACCTGCTTTACCCACCACCCCCACTCAACAAGCATCCATGAGCCCTCCTTACATCAATTCTTCCCCCGAATTTCCACCGCCTCCACCTCCAGAAGTGTTGATAGACTCTGCCTTGTCGGGCCTCAATAGTTCTTTCAGCCCTCCACCACCTCCTCCACCACCACCACTGCCTGCTTGTTCCCCCATCCCTGCTTATTCTCCACCCCAAAATCAACTCCTATCCAGCATGACACCACCTACACCTTCTTCTACTTGTTTGAAGGAAATTAAGGGTAGCCTAAAACCAGTGAACTCAGAAAGAAGAACAGTGTCGCCTCACTCTGAGCAGCCTAGTAAGGTTGGCTTGCCTCTGATCACCCCATTTGCCCTTCAGAGTGTGCAACTTCGGCCACCAAAGCGGCCAAAAAACAATGAAGTTAATCAGTTGGCCAGACCCCAAACAACAGAGAAGCCTCTCAAACTACGGCATCCCACAGTTCCTCAGGTTTCTTCAATACCTCCTAATTTAAGGCCATCATCTCCAGAGAAAAAACTCTCCATCCAGCATAGCCAGGATAGCCATGTTGAAGCACAACCTGACTGTGGTGTAAAATCAATTTCTGAACCAACATCCTGCCTCACAAATGGGTCCATAGATCTTGACGAGGTTAAGGCCACCACTGAAGTAGATGGTTTGGAGCCTGCCCTCTCATCACCTGCAAAAACACCACAAAACACCACACCCAAGAAAAAGCCTCCTGCGGTTTCCAAAAAGCCCATGTTTTCTCTCACCTTTTCATCAGTGGATCATGTCAGTGATTTGCTGAGTGCTCAAAATGACGTTAACATCTCTACAACTACGCCTGAAGGTCTGGACCCCACACCTGTGCCAGAACAGGAAGAGACAACTGAGAAGGATAGCATTGGAATTTCTGTTCCTCCTGAGGAGATAAGAGACATTTCTTCCACAAATTGTGAAGCTCAGGAATTCTCCCAGACTTCTGGTACCATCATTATTGATGCAGACATGGGTACCATTGAAGGAAAGGATGGAGAAGAGGGAGATGATGAAGATGTAACCAGCAGCACAGAATCTTTTGGATCTAAAGATGATGAAAGTGGTGAGTTAGATTTTTCTCATTTTACTCAGTGGAGATCATTTATAAAACTGGATGACACAAAATCATACAATTTTAAATACGCAGACCTTTTTAAAGAGTCAGAGGCACTATTGGGTGACGTGATTCCAAGCTTTAAATGACATAAAGAGAGATAATAGGAACAAGGTGATGCACATTAGCACTTCAGCTTGTATTAAAACAGCATTGTCAAGAAAAAAACTTGTGTATTATACATGCATTTAAGGCAAGAAGTGGCTGATTTTGCTCACCTCTACCATGAGTGTGTCAGGGCTTAGAATTGGACATCACTTTGGATTTAGTACTTATTTAGTTTTACTTCTCTCTGTCTCTTTCCCCAAGTCTTTCACTGTATTCATTCAGCAACCACTCCCCTTCCACCATCTGTCCCTTTGACTTCTGATTCTCTCGTCCTTTTCTCATTCTCTCCTGTTTTACCATTCTCTCTTATCCTTTTGTTTTTCATTGTTTCATTTATAGATTCCCTCACCAGTTTTGAATGCATGTTACACAACTCTATAATATTTCTGAAACATCAGGTAAATAAGGAAATAAGCAGATAAATTAAGTTGCAGGTAATAAAATAAATAAATAAATATAAAATAAAAATAAATATTTAAATATTCTAAATAATATACATTCTGAATAATGAATATTAAGAGTACTGACAACAACTATACAAAGACAACTCTTGAATATGGTAATTAAAGCAGTGTATTTAATGAGTGTTCAGTATACATATTGACGTTTATAGGTGTTTCTCTTAAATTTATACAATTATTACAGCATAGAGCAAAAGAGAAAATCTCTCTCTCAACGTCACCAGTGTTACAGTGTCTAGTCAGGGTCAGGATAGAATGGGACAGCATTCCTTAGGGAAAGCCGTTTAAACAGGATGGGGCGGGGGGTGGAGCTGACACTGGGTAAAGGAGGAGAGAAGTGAGGGAGGGGTATGGAAGAGAGCGCGTAACGTGAGATCACCCTCAGTGTCTCAGGCAAGTGCAGATGTGAGATGAGAGGAGAGCAGAGCAGAGCAACTGAACTCTGGGAAGGTGGATACGACCATAACAATGTAAGACAATATTAAACATAAAGCTTTTTACTGTCTTCATGTGTTTTTTTTTAACAGTGTGAAGTATACGTGTGTTCTTGGATTTATCGATGGCTCTAGGATGTGTCTTGGTACTTATATGAAATGTAGGATTTTGATTGACAGTCTTTTAAAATCTGATGTTTTCTGATATTTTATATAAAACCATTCAAGCTCTACCAGTGTTTATCTACATAGATTTTCCTCTCTGCTTTATTTTTGTTTGTTTGTTTTTTGGACAAGTTTGTCCAAACATGCCTATGCATTTTGACATAATATTGAGTTCTAGAATGACAGTATCTGTTTGTCAGCTGGGTCCTGTTTGCAGTGTGTTCATTTATTTTCAGGTCATTAGGCTCTGCCTTTGAAGTTTATTATCATCATTACACTTATGCATCTGGCAGACGCTTTTATATAAATTGAAGTCAATTGCATTCAAGGAGTCAAACCCATGACCTTGGTATAAGCGCAATGCTTATAATAATACTATGCAATTTATATATATTTTTATATATTGATTTATTTCAGGAAATTGAATATATCCTCTATTATATGAATTTAATAAATGAATGTCCTACCAGGTGAGGTGTTTGAGTCCAGCAAGTTGGACGTCGCTCAATCTCCCAGCATCAACGCCGACAGCGGTGGGGACATGGTGACCCCCACACGGCCCCGCACCACAGAGGACCTCTTTGCTGCCATTCACAGGTAAATTCCCAAATACTTTGCTGGTATCCTTTTCCCAGTCTCATCTACTTCCTTTTCACTCCATCCTTCCCACCTCCCATAAACCGCAACTCATAACTTCAAAGTGGGCTGTCCTATCCAATCGCAGATACATTCATCAAAGATAGAGCGTGGAAGGAAAGCAGCCTGTAAAGAGTAGGGCTTCTGTGGTCTCTGTCTGTCAGATTGAGAAATGCCACAGGCTGATGTATTACTCCACTGGATGCTCATGTACATTTGGCTGTGTTAAAGAAACATGCACTCTCTTCTAATTCAGTCATAAAACTCATAGCCTTACTGCAGTCACGTGAAAATGTGCCTCTGTTGCTTACCGTATGGGGCATTATTTAAAATTCATTATGTTGTTCACACAGACGTATTACGTATGCAGGCTCTTCCATAGTCACGTGTAATGTGCAGGTTTTTGAAGTTCTTTAGCACATCACACAAATTCATTCTAGAGGATTTGGTTTCCTCTTCTACTGTGTGTGTGTGTGTGTGCGGCTTTGCTCTTCCTTATGCTCTGGTCTGCTGCAATCTCACACAGATATTAGAGTAAAAGATATCCTTGAAATGGAAGACCAGTTTAGATGTTGTGTGACAGTGCACCAGATGCTATATGTGCTCAGTAAATCCTGCGGTTTGGCTGATGTCACTCTCATAACACTGAGCTTTAGATGAATGAATCAAATAAAAAAGCTGGAGTGAAAGCTAGATTGCAACCACAATGTATACAGCATTTCTCTCAAGAATTGACCTAATGTGTTTTGAAGGACTTTACTGCAAAAAACAAAATCTGTATTTTTCTTGTTTTCTGGTTAAAAATATATAAGCATGCTTAAAACTAGATTATTTACTTGAAGAACAAAATGACATATTATAGAACGAAATGATCAACAGTATGACGTGGAAGCCATGTGCATATTCCATTAATTCCAGTGAAGACAAGCCAATGTTACAGCACAGATGACATTCTAAAATCCTTTGTTGCAATCGTTTTGGGGGGTCTTTTTCTGTTCCAGAAGGACAATGTCTCTGGCACACAAAGCAAAGTCCATAATGAAGTAGTTTACGGAGTCCGAACTGGAATAACTTGTTGGGTGATGGGGTCTGGCTCACAGTCTGTGTACCAATTCATCTCAAAGATGTTAAGCGTGGTTCAGATTCACACCAGACTTGGTTAATCATTTCTTCATGAACCTTGTTCATGCTGGAGAAAAAAAGGCCCTCCCAAACTGTTGGATCTTAAAATAAGTTTACCATTTTACCTCTGCAATTAGTTTTTTGTCTGTTTTATGCATAAACCTCAGAAATGAAGCATAGAATGAAATCCTATGGTCTAATTTTAATCTTAAAACTAATTGTATTATTTTTAGATATTTATTTTTGAAAGAGCTTTTTTTATTTATTTAGATGGGGGGTTTTCAATGGATTTTTTGTTTTTGTTTTAGATATTGCATCTCTGACACTTCAATTCTTGCTTCCACATCCTTTGTCATTTTCCCACTCTCTTGTCATATCTGTCATTCTCTTCCTCCTTTTCCTTTCCTGATCCCTCCCATCCTCCTTTTCCTTCTCTTTCGTTCAGCCTGGACCAGTTGAACATGAACACCCCCCAACATACGAGGTGCGGTCTGGCAAGTAATTAGCTGTTGGCGTATTCCTCTCGTGGTGATGCTAGGGTGGGATTAGCTCTATAATCTCCCAGCGCATCTCAGACGTGGGATGAATTTCTGCTCCATCCCGCAGATAATCCCACGCTCCCTAATCTGCAGCAGTTATGCCATGCTAATGAATTTGATTTGATCCTGGCCACAAATGCTAGCTTTCATTGACCCAAGGTCCCCCTACTGGTGGGATGAATGAACAGCCCTCTTGGTTAAAGTGATGCGGGGCATTTTGCCCAGTTTGCTTTGTTGATTAGGCTTCCATTATGTCTGCACTTCCATAAAGTTGCTATGCTTGCAGTATTCCTCTTTGGTTTGGCTTTTAAAGGACTGAATTTGTATTAAGCAAACACCCCCCACCCCCCTACTCCTGCTATTTATATACTGCATTAAGATATTCCTGTTTTTCCAATTTTGCAGTGAGGTTTTGGTTTGCTGGGGGCTAGTGGAGTTTAATGAGAAAGTGGAACAGAAATCAATGAAGGGGATAGGCTCATCAAGACTGAAAAAATTAATCACTAAAATTGAATTGAATCTTTTTCAGGACGTTCAGCTTCAGGAGTAGTTAGATTAGTTGTTAATTGAAGTGAAGCATTTTAGTTAAACATTTGTGCCGGCAACTCTGACATATTATTCTCTAAATAATAGTTTAAATCAAACACAAGTTTGATTTTTGTTTATAAGCGGATTCTCTGCAGCCTACTGCTAACTAATATAAGCTTGAGCTGATACTTCATTATTTCTTTTACAGATACGGTACTAATATATTGTGCATCCCTAGTACTTTGGTTTAAATGGCTTAATATCTGGTTTTACAAAACAATTTACTTGACGTTATTTTACTTTTGTCTCCAGGTCGAAGCGGAAGGTCCTGGGGCGCAAGGAATCTGAAGAGGAGCGTTCACGAGGTCCTCTATCCCCACCAGTCACCCCCACAGGAATGGCCCCCGGTTCGACCTCCTCCCTGCCACGGCAAACAAGCTCCATACAGCGTAGCCTGCGCAAATCCCCGACCAGCAGCGACACCTTCAAGGCCCTCCTGCTGAAGAAAGGCAGTCGCTCCGAGACCAGCTTCCGCATGTCTGCCGCCGAGATGCTGCGCAGCACCGACCCGCGCTTTCAGAGGACTCGCTCTCTCGACTCCTCGCTCGATCCAGCATCTCCGACGGGCGAGAGCCCCTGCTCTTCTCCAGGCCGGAACAAAAGGGCGTCTGAGGACTGGGCGCGCAACGAGGGAATGTTCTCAACATCCCCGTCATTAATCGGGCCGAAGTACGGCCGATCCCGCACACCGCCCTCTGCCGCCAGCAGCAAGTACAACGCCCGCAGCCGGATCCTCAGCAGCCCCATGACAGTTATTTGCGAGAGGGATGGAGAACTCACCGACTGTGAAGACCCATGCCCTGTTTCTCCATCAAACATGCCCCTTCCCATCTCTCAGAACTCTAACAGCACTTTATGTGAGCAGAGCAGCAGTTAGGAGAAGAAATGGCTCCTTGGCAAAGGCAGAATGTCTTCTCGTAACCAGAGATTGACTGAGGGCAGAAGACCAGGAGTCGAACTCTCGAGGGTCTTGCTGCCCGCTAATCCAGGCAGCGCTGCCTGATATTGTAGTGTGGGCTAAGACATGCGGACCCGAGGTAGATCAAGCTGTCAGCTCAAGCAGTAGGCGGTGTACTGCTATACCTATAGCTCTTCACAAATAAACTAACCTATCTAATCAAATTTGACCTTCTTTTCGGAGGGAATTCTGCTTTCAGTGGCAATACTAGACTCATCTTTTCAAACCCCAACAATTACTTCTGTTATTTTGTTCAACCTTTTATTTCCACTCTTCAGCATTAACAGTCAGATTTGTGTGGGGGTTTTTGGTGAAGCTGTTTACGAAAGTTGTATAGAAGGAATTACTATGTGACCGCTTGTTTTGGCTGTAGTAGTTCAAGTTGATGGATATTGTGTCAGCGCTGTGGTCCAAAGAGGTGCGTCACTTCTCAAACTTCACCGAGGCAGCTCTGTCAGCGCCTTTCAGTCAGATATCTTCAGTACACCGGTCTTCAAACATCAAGATAGAGAGCACACCGACCAGAGCACAAAGAGACTTTTCTTACTGTTCGGACCATCGGAAGTGTCTGGAAGAGAAAAGGAATTGTGGGCCAAGAGATTGGAGTAATGACGGCTTGTTTGTGGAAACAAAAAGAGTTTGTTTGGTTTTTGGTGTGTAGGTTTGCACTGTTCATTGTCTCCTTTTATTTGTCATTTAAAAAACATTGTGTCTGTGTTGGTTATTTTAAAGAGTTAATTCTTACATCTTACTTGAAACAAATGACCGGTTTTACTTGTAATTGTTTTGGTTACCAAAGAGCCGAACGGGACATTCTCTCTAACTAGCTGAAATGTGAGGGCATTAGTCAGACTGAGTTCTGTTCTGTTAATCTAGTGAAAGTGACCGCTTTATTACTAACCCTCCTGTTTACCTGTCAAGCTTCTTTTTTTTTCTTGTGCAGTTTTATAATGTTTTTTATGTATATACCTAAAGAAATGTTAAGTAACCCTGAACTTATTTTCAAAGAATTTGTACATTTTAGAAACCTTTGCTAGGAGTGGCTTCCTTTTGTAGAGTATTTATTTTAGAATAGCCAGAATGTGGTTTGATATACTGTAGCTGGAGGTGGGTGTTTTGGGAGGGAAGTGTGATTAGAGGGGACATCCTACAGACATGTGGTCAGAGTCATTAAGTTCAGATTCAGCAGTCACAGAACTTCTATCCTGTTCCTTCACCCGTCGTACTGATGGAAAAGTGGGTCAGAAAATAAAAGCAGAATAAATAACGATGGCAAAGAGGAAGCAAGCTGCTAACCCTCTGGAGTTTGTCTCTGTAATAAAACATGGTGATATTTAAAAATGGCCCATCTGTCTTGTCTCTGTCTTTGATTCACTGCCACCTGTCAGCCGCCAGCCCAAACCACAATCTCATTAGCACCGTCACCATGACACCCACAGCAGTTCATCAACTCCAAAGGCTTTCCAGGACCATCAACCCCTACTTCCGTCATACTGACCATCATTTAAAGCTCGATACCGTGACTTGGACCAACGTCGTATGTATGCAAAATAGGTTATATCATGAAAGAGGTCATGAATCATTGTTTATGATTTGGCTGCAAGTGCAACAGGGAGATACAAGTAAGTTGCCTGTTTCCTATGCTTTTGTGCTGAGTGTGTGAACACGATATTCAGGGCAGGCAACCATTACCTCGAAAATAAACCTGATGACGATGCAGACAGTGTGTTTGGCCTTGTATGATTTCTTTAGCTAACACCTGACTCAGATTATGTCCTTTGTCAGATGAAGTACAAAAATATTTTTTCCTCTGCTATAGCTCTATTTATAAGTGATTTAAAGTAAATTAATGACGTTTCTCTTTATACACCGAATTAATGTGTAGACTGAATCTAATTAAAATAATTCATTTGAATTAAAGCTACACTATGTAACTTTTTTGGAGAGTGCAAACAAATCCTTTTTCGAACCATACAGTACGCCTAAACATAACCAAAATGTCACCTAACCTGCCTTGAAAACCCCGTTAAAATAGGTTTTTATTTTATATATATATATATATATGTGTGTGTGTGTGTGTACTAGCAGTTACTAGTTTATTTGTATTATTCTGTATTTGTATTATTAGGCTAATTTACAACAATGATTTTCTGTTTTAATCATTTAAGGTAAATGTATATATTTAACCAACCGATAACCCTTAACAACCGCTGATATTGATAACCATCTTGACATTTTTAAAATAATTTGTTTCAATATTAAGACTATTCATACACGCAGCACCAAATCACAACCAAAACAATGTTCTTCCGCAAGATGTGCCGTTTTATTTTTGAACCACTAGAGGGCCAAAGGTTTCGATGTGTACCAGTTATTAAAACGACAAAGTACAGAAAAACTAGTGTCAATTTAATACACTGTTATTGTTCTCTTAAATTTTTAGATTCAAGATCTAGTGCAATATAAACAGCTCAAAATGCAGATAAGATTATTCATATTTCAATACAATAAAAGTTATTGATTCAGACAGTCGGGTCATTCAACGGGTACTTGCACCTTTACACAACCATTACATGAGTACTTTGAATGATACATTATTAGTCACAAAAACCATTAATCAAAAATTATTTCAACATTCTTTTCATATGATTTCATAGTTAATTGTAGATATTAAAAGTGTTAATGTTGCTGTAAAATATATTGGTCAGATATAAAATCAGTACAGTGTTAAATTCTCAAAAACATTCAGGCACTTGCATGTATGTACATAGTAAACAGAAGCACCTACATAACTATTGTTAAGTTCAAACAAATAGTTGACCTCCTCTTCATTTAGATCACAGGGCATGCCCGTTTGATCCTTAGGCTTTTTCTTCCTCATCTTTGATCAGCCACACCTCGTTCCTGCGGTTGGTCAGTTTGAAGGGGCTGTCATATCCGGCTCTGTAGAACGGAGCCTCTTTGAATTTCATTCCATCCCTCTTGAGGCTCTCGATCAGTTTCAGAAGCTCCTCACGGCTGGTCTCACTGTTGGCAAAGCCTCCATACGTCCTTCAAAACACGGCCAAGCAAAACTGAAGCTATGGCAGCAAAAACATTTTGAAACCAAAGAACAGTTTGACCTGGCAAAACAAACTAACATTCCAAAGTTTGGGGTCAGTCAGATTTTTAAATGCTTCTGAAAGAATTCTCTTATGCTCTTCAAGGCTGCATTTACTTGCTTAATAAATAATATTTCAGAATATTACTGTTTTAATTTAAAATGAAAGTTTTTTTTATTTTAATATATTTTAAAATATATCATGTCAAAGCTGAATTTTCAGCATCATTACTCCAGTCTTCAGTGTCACATGATCCTTCAGAAATCATCCTAATATGCTGATTTGCTGCTCAAGAAACATTTCTTCTGTTCTGGAAACAGTCGTGCTGCTTATTATTTTTGTTGAAATCATTATAAAAAAAAAAAAAAAATCAGGATTCTTTGACGCACAGAAAGTTTAAAATAACATATTTTGTAACATTATAAATGTTCTTACTGAAACTTTTGATCCATTTAATGCATTATTGCTAAATAAAAGTATAAATTGAAGCTAAACATATTGACCCCAAAGTTTTAAACAGAAAAATAGCTGAATTTAATCTCCAATTTAAAAACCACAAACATATACCTCACAAACATCGTGGACTCTTTCCGGTTCTCTATGAAAACATCTGCGTCGGTGGGTTTGGGTGGGTCAGCCTGATGTTCCTCAGGGATGAAGAAGGAGATAGTGAAGGTGCTTTCACAAGTGGGTCCGGCCCCAGGGTCAATCAAACAGCTCACTGGTGCCGTCATCTCCACCTTACACTCTGACACATGACGGTACAGGACACGCGCTCAGATAAAGCCGATATTCAAAGGTCTTTCTTTAATGAAAAGGTGCAGAAACATGCACTGATCTCAATGTGCCAAAGCTATTTTGCAGGTACAATTTCACCTGATGAATCATTAACACAACTGAATCTGTGGTAACAACCTGGCACATGATTTTTATTATTATAAAAGCATCTTGAGATGTGATTTATTGTAGTCACAGGAAACCATTTCCACGTAAAACCTTTGGCTTTATGCATGAGGAGATTTCTACGGAGCCCCTAAAGGGACAAGGTGGTGGAAAAAATTGGGATGGGAGATTTTTTTTTTTTTTTTTTTTTTTTTTTAAATCTTTTGCGTTCCCTCGCAAAGATATTTGCTTTCCCAAGCAAAACCTGCTGTGAGCTCGGATAGACACTTCCTGTTTAATGTCCCGCTGCCAGTGTTTCAGAGATCCGTACGTTAATGGTTTGAACTTGGACTCAAATGTAAAGAAATGTGGTCAGTGCCTAACTCAAGGAGTTCAGTGAAGTTGGCAATATTTTCACAGATTCGAACTTCCCGGATCAATATTCCTGAGCTAAACGTTGTTAAAACACAAATGACACCTATTTACAATCACAGTAACTTAGACAACGAGCTACAACCCAATTTTTATAATATAAATTTGTCTCCAAGTAGGCGGTTGAGAGACAAGTATGAATAAGGGTCGGGACCGTCTGCAAAGTTCAAAACCCTTTTGCACATGTTATATTATGAAACATATTCAATAGCTTCACTGTGACACACTGTTCTGTCACCAAATTCAGTTCACACATCACTGCTCTCCTGCTGGTTATACTACAATACTTAGACCATTAATAACTTTGCTGTTTTTAGAAAAAAATATTCAATAACTTCACAGTTTTACAGTATAATGCCATCAAATTCAGTAAGCAAATATAATACAAAAGCTATGGTTGTAACTATTATGTTAGCTGCGTACCAATATCATTTGTGTAAAGAATAGGCCTACTTATTTGTGCAATTACTTGCCAAACTAAGTGTTGTATAACCAGCATTAGAGCAGTGATGTGTGAACTGAATTTGGTATGTTACAGTGAAGTTATTGAATATTTTTCATAATATAAAATGTGCAAAAGCAAGTGGGAGACCATTGATGTGTAAACTGAATTTGGTGACACTACAGTGTGTAACATTGGAGTTAATGACTATTTTTGTATTAATGTTTTTTGGGTTATATTGCATTTTGAGACTGTTCCTTATTCGGACTTGTCTCTTAGCCGCCTGCTCATAGAGATCAATTTATATTATAAAGCTCGTTTTTAGGAAATTTGGGTTGTAGCTAGCTCGTTGTCTAAGTTACTGTGATTGTAAATCAGTGTAATCTGTGTTTTAACAACGTTTAGCTCACGAGTTATTGATCCTGGAAGTTCGAATCTGTTGCAATCTTCACTGAACTCCTTGAGTTAGGCACTGACCGCATTTCTTTATATTTGAGTCCAAGTTCAAACCATTAACGTACGGAGCTCTGAAACACTGGCAGCGGGACATTAAACAGGAAGTGTCTGTCCGAGCTCACAGCAGGTTTATATCTTTGCAAAGGAACGCAAAATATATGCTATATACATTTTTTTTTTTTTATCTCCCATCCCAATTTTTTTCCTGCACCACGTCTCTTTAGGGGCCCCGTAGATTTCTCACCCATATGTACTTGCTATTTTGCATTGTATTTCTGTTGTGTAATGAAAATGTCACAATCACAGGGGCTGACGTAAGGAAATAATAATGCATCTAATCTTGAGTGTCTACTAGGCTACGTGAAAATCTGAGTTTCTAGTCGTCTACAGGTCCATGAAGACTTACTTTTGTCATTATTGCCCTGAATGTATTTGAAGAGTCTTCTGAAGCCTGTGCCTAAGGCCGGGTCCTGCTCCATGCCAGTCACAGCTGTGCTCACCCAGTTTGTTGTGTGGTAAGTGCGGACTTCATAGTCTTCACCCTGAAAAACATCACTTCATCAGACATGACTGGTAACATTACAACAATAAGGGTCCGTGTATCTTTTGGTCATTTGATTTCCTGTTTGGAATGGAATAACGAGAAATGAAATCCAGCTCGTTTATTCGTTTTTTTGTTTAGTTTAAAAAACGAAAAATTAGATTTTAGGTCGATTTTTCATTTTTCGTTTGTGGTTTACAAATCGGTTTATGGGTTCGATATTTCATTTGCACACGTGGGCGGCGCTGAAACGCCCCTTTCATCTGATTGGTCAAACCGCTCCGCCTTCAGTACAAGCTTTTCTTTCTGTCGGGCAGAATAAGAGTATTAATAAATGCACTTTAATAAAACAATGTCTGAAACCACCACTCACTGTTAACTACGCACAATATTTGAAGCAGAGATATTGCTGGTCACGTAACTCGTGCTGCTGCGACTTGCAAGCGACCCCAGTAATGTGAGCCACAGTAGACCTATATGACAGATTACTTTAGCATGATGTATTTCCCATTGATAAATACAATGCAAATAGTTCCGTCTCTTTGGATAAAAGGGAAAAGGGAAAAAAAATAATCAATAACTGAACTGTACCATGATAAAATATGTCCGTAACATTAGATGTCCGTAGATGACCTACCCATAACGGTTACATTAGAGTTAGGGGATAACACAGTTTGTACAGTATAAAAATCATGATGTCTAAAGTTCCCATAAAACATGAAAACCCAATGGGAATATATCCTTGTTGTTGTGTAAAACATCCGTTCATAATCTGTGATTACACAATTCCAATACGAATAGCACCGGGAGGCGTCTGGAATAACTGTGCAATGATCAATCCGCATTTTTACGTAAACCAGCTAATTTTACAGTAGGCTATGTCCTTCTCGTATAACACACAAATGGGCTTCCTTTGTGAAATATAGCAGACCACCTTTTTTTAAACTGTTATTTAAGATATATTTGTGCATAAATGTTTGCATTCAAGTTTTTCATATAGTCAGTCCGACAGATAGATAGATAGATAGATAGATAGATAGATAGATAGATAGATAGATAGATAGATAGATAGATAGATAGATAGATAGATAGATAGATAGATAGATAGATAGATAGATAGATAGATAGATAGATAGATAGATAGATAGAACCTTTGTAAGATATTGTAAGATATGCGCTCGTCTTCACAAAAACTACATGCAGGGTTTTTAAACATCTCGTGTGGAGAAAATATAGTTTATTCTGGGCAGTATGGCAAGCCATGGCAAAAAGCAGGCTAACTTGTAGGCTATAGCCTTGAAAGGAAAACACATTTGCCGAGTTAAAACAGAGTTTTTGTTGTTGAATCATATTTTTTCTAGTACATCTTAAAATATAGAGCTTATGACAAATAAAAGTTCCAGATGGACTAATATTAAATGCAAAAACTAACAATATCTTAAAAGAAACTATAGAGTGGCAAACTTTGAAGTAGGGTTCAAGTTTTAATTAGTTTTACAGCTTGAAATGTAAAGCTTGTTCTCATACACAGATATGGCCTATTTATGAATGAAATTCATGCGTTTATTTGTCATTTCAACTGATGCAAACAGGAAAAGAGTAGAAAGACGTATTATCCTGTCGCCCCCTCTAGTGGACAGCATTAAGTATTACGCCCATTGCTCAGATAACGCAAGTCAATGGATTTTTTTGGGAAAGTAAGTCTGACCAGTTAGAAAAAGATATAAGCGAGTCAGACCAGTCTGAAGGTCTGAGCTGAGTTTGGTGAAGCATTAAAGTTCTAGGCGGAGTCAATTTCTCATAATAATAATAATAACGTTTAAATATATGCTTTCTCAAGCCAACATAATAAACAGAACTCAGAGAAACATCGACCAATTCAGTATGTAATAAAATTGTATTAGTTTTATAATAAAACTAATAACATTTTAAAGGTATGCCGTGCTCTTCAACTGTCATGATTTTAATTAATCCCAAACCCTGCTAATTTTGAAAGTAGCCTAGCCTACGTTCTGTACGTTCACTGATTCTAGCTTCTCTCTTTTCTGTCTCTTTCTTTTCATGTGAACCGAGTAGGCTATAGCCTATGCTTACATTTATAAATATAAACTTTATTTCTATTCAATTTTCAAAATTATTTAGGCATATACTGTGCATGTCACACACACACCTTTTGATGTAAATAAAATACGAGAGTGGTAAATGTTATGAACATATTATCATGTTACAGTTCAGCCTATTATTGATTTTTATTTCCACTTCCCTTTTATCCAAAGAGACGGAACTATTTGCACTGTATTTATCAATGGGAAATGCTAAAATAATCTGTCATAGGTCTACTGTGGCTCACATTACTGGGGTCGCAGAGCCCCCATTACCAGCAACATTTCTGCTTCAAATATTGTGCGTAGTTAACAGTGAGTGGTGGTTTCAGACATTGTTTTATTAAAGTGCATTTATTAATACTCTTATTCTGCCCGACAGAAAGAAAAGCTTGTACTGAAGGCGGAGCGGTTTGACCAATCAGATGAAAGGGGCGTTTCAGCGCCGCCCACGTGTGCAAATGAAATATCGAACCCATAAACCGATTTGTAAACCACAAACGAAAAATGAAAAATCGACCTAAAATCTAATTTTTCGTTTTTTAAACTAAACAAAAAAACGAATAAACGAGCTGGATTTCATTTCTCGTTATTCCATTCCAAACAGGAAATCAAATGACCAAAAGATACACGGACCAATAAACGAGGTCTGCTTCGATATAAACATGAGCAGACTATCAAAAACAAAATGCAAGCCGTAACTCTGCAAGCATTAAGTAAATATTAACAAATCTAAAGTCTGACAAAGTTAAGCCTGGACGGTTTACTGGCAAAATGACATTTTGAGTAGGCTACTGTAGGCTGCCTACTAACCTTACTCTGTTGAGCAGTGAACTTTGGGTGCTGGAGTCCAGAGGAAAAAAAAGTTTGACCGATGGCTTTAAGCATCTTGAATTTGAACTGTAATGCTGTGCAAAATTAAAAATGGATTATTAGTTGCACACAATTGTGGAAATAATAGGAGATATTTCCTTGTTTCATATTTCATGGCCAGTAGGCCTACGTTTGGACGTTAAGGGCCAACAATAATGTACGAGTTATTCTATGAAATAATTAAAACATTGTTTGTAAAGTTTCCTATTTCGCGCATGTCCGTTAACAGTAATATTTTTTCCTCATACACACTTTTAACCGAAAATATGGATGGATGGAAAATGGGCCAGGTTTTTACAATAAGATGACTGTCCAAACGTTGCTCAGTTGCGCTGAAGTCATCTTACTACAATATTATATTATATAGTCTACTTTAGATATAAACTCACCTGTCCGCCGTGGAGCGTTAAAATGCAGAAAATGACTGAAAATCCAGAGAAGATCGAGCGCATAAGCCTATATCATCCGTCTCAGACAGGTGTGTTAGATAAAGAAGATACAGTTACGGGTGCTGTTTTATACAGATGGTGCTATGTAACACACAACCGTAGGCTTAAGTAACACTTACACTTCCGTGTTTTCATGTTACATCACTCGCATGAAAAGTTTCCGATTGGTTGTGAAGAATATGTCAATAAAGTCACGCCCCAGCAACGCTACACTACTCTGGGGAAGAAACATTACATCACTACCCCTTGTAACAATGGAACAAAAATAAATGAAAGTAAATGACAGAAGTAGATGATTTTTTTTTTTTTTTACTTTAAATTGTATTAATTCTAAAGCATTTTATTTAAATATAAATAAATAGTTATACATTTGAAAGGCATCAAGTTACCTTGCAGTAAAATATAAGGTCAACTAGAGTCAGGTTGCAAACACCATTACTTCAAAGCCATACATTTTTCATCATCACATCAATACTTAAGCAGAAACTAAACTAATGGATGATTGCAGACACACTTAATCTTAAGTATTCCACTCACACTAATCACAAAACACCTGTAAACATATTTTTCAGAGGAATATCCCCAAAGTGCATGATCAGCTAAAGAGAGTGTGTAACCTATCCAAAACTGAAAAAATACTAGAATTACTTCGTAAACAATACTAACAAGTATAAGCATAAGCAACTATGATATCAACGAATTTAACCCCAAAGTCTTACAATGCACCGCAAATTTCAAAATCAAAATGCATACAAATAAAAATACACAAGCATCTTTTTACTATTAAATGGATCTCCTGTTTGTCACTTCATCTTCAGAGCCGTGTTCTTCCTGCGTGGTGGCTCTCTCTGGACCTGTCTGGCTCTGGCACCGAAGCCCAGGGACTGAAGAGATTCAGTGAGGAAGCGTTGAGTAGGAGATACACACAGCATTATCAGAAGCTTAGCATCCCCTCCTGTGCCAGAAAGGAGACAGAAAAGAGGTCAAAGGGATGGTCAGGTGAGGTTCGGGAGATAAGAAAGAAGAATGTAGGCAGGCCCTGTCTATGACAGCTATTGTGGTTGTGTTCTAACTTGACTGGTGGAACTGGTTTTAACTGTGGTTCAAATAAAAGCAAAGAAAACTTGCACAATATACAAGGAAAAAGTCCACCAAAATCTTTCCAGTTCCACTGTGTCTAAAAGATCAAATATTTGTCCTTTAATTGAATAGCTAATTTAATTTAATTAACTACAGAGCTAAATTTCATATGCAGTCCATCCACACAGGCAGGCAAAAAGGAACATATGGCACAATTAGTACATTAGGTGATAATATATCTAAATATATCTGTTTAAAAATACATTGCAAATAACAATGATATTAAGTAAGTTGCACTGTGACAAATGACATTATATGTCCAGTATACATGCATGTAAAAATGTCATTCTAAATTGAAAAGTTGTCAATAATGTAACAGGTCACTAGATTGCTCAGTGTTTGTATGTTCAAATGTTTGGCTCATGATCATCTTCAGTCATATTTTCAGGAAGGATGAATGGATGGATGTTTTATGGACTAGTGTGCATGTTCAAGTGACTTGTATTTCGCAGTGAATGAGCTCTCACCGATGGCGTCCTGTAGCAGATGTGTTAGTTTGCTGTTGCGGTAGGGGACGTGGGGTCGTCGTTCGGCCAGAGCTCCCAGAACATCAGACAAAGCCGAGAGACTGCGGTTTATACAGGAGCTTTCCCACAGAGCAGCACCGGTCACACCTGACATCCCTAAACACAGATAAACATTCATGCTAAAAGACTATTCACATCTTCATTTACTAGGCGCATTTGAATCAAATCTGACCTAAGATTTAACACTCCATAAACCTTATCTAATGAGTCTGAATATGATGTTTGTTTTATTGTAAAATGGCTTAACTAGTAACTAACTAGTAACAACTCACTACTCGACGGAGCACAAAACTGCAACCTCTTACCCACACACTCGCTCCCAGCCAGGTCCACTAACTGCAGCTTGGTCTTGAGGGGGGTCTGTGTGATGCTGGGTCGAGGAGAGGGGCATGGTGAGTGACGGGGAGAAGGGGATGGTGAGTGACAGGGGGAATGGGACGGCGAGGAGGCGGGGCTAGATGAGCGTGAAGAGGCGGCCCTGCGGCAGCGCGGGCTCCACCACTCCTTCTGAGACACTCGCTGGACGTCCTGTCTGGCCTTCTGCAGCCTACGAGCTGTAACACACAGAGATCACACTGTGTGAGTCCAAAAAGTAGGAGTAAAACTATTTCTTCCAAGTGTTATGGTAACAAAGTGCCTTTTAAGCAGGTCAGTTCACTCAGCAGCCATCTCAGTAATAACACCAGACTGCTACTTTTCAGTCATAAAACTATAGATAAAAATCTATATATATAAATATATATTAAAGACAGTGAGAAAGAGATTTTAATATATTATTATTTACTATATATCAATGTTAATCGCATCTAACATAAGCTTTTGTTTACATAATATATATGTGTGTGTATAATATTATTATATTTTTATATATTATATATGTGTGTGTGTCTGTGTATACTGTATATACATATACGCATATATATATATATATATATGTGATTAATCGATTTGACGGTTTTATATAAATTTGAACTATAAAAACCCAGCAATATATTTTTACAAATAAATAAATAGAATTTTTAGGGCTAATCTGGTCTAACTGATGCCTCTATTAAAAAGTGATTGGCAAAAAAAATGTCCTATTCATTTTTATATAATTATATGTCTCCTGCCCATATACGTAAATCCACTTTATGGCAACCTTTATGAGGTCTTTCAGTGCTACTGTGAGAAACCTTTGGAGTGAGCACAGAGCTCTTTTTCCAGAGTAGTGAGAAAGTGCTTGAGTGTGTGTATGTGTAGATAACTAATGCAGTGGGTGTGTGAGAAAATAGAGTTGTTAGAATGAGCGTTTGTTTGTGCGTCTTTAGATAATACGCTCTGTCTCACTTAACAGCCATAACCGTGTGTGCTGCAGATAGCGGCGTATGGCTTGAGGGAACATTTCAGCTTCAAAACCTGATTTGGGGACTTGAAGAAACACTGTACTGTATATCATACCTAGAGCCAGTGCATCTGGGCTTCTGGAGGTGACGGTGAGAGTGACGATGAAATGAGATCTGGAGGAGTCCATGTGCACCAGGGTGGGACTGTGAGATCTTAGTTTCAACACAGAATTGATCAGCTGCATCACCTCTGCAGAGCTCCGTACCAACCTGACACACAAACACATGCAAACCTGTGAAAGTCACATGCGCATGGAGCTCAAAGTACAATGAAAAAGTAGGTCGAACAAACCAAAAAATGCAGATATGTACACTCTAGTGCAAAACACATGCATTAATACACCAAAAAAAATTATATGGCACAAAAGGGAGCAAAATGTCTTAAACATAAATTATTTAACTTTATTTAAAAAAAAAAACTACTGTGGATTTTATAGGCCAATAAATATAAAAATTATTAACATGGCATAGGTTAAAAAGGAAAAATGCTTTGACATCAACAACAACAACAAGTGGTTAATTTAGTCAATTTGTCAACATTACTTAAGACTTTATACCTCGGTTTCACAGGCAAGGCCTAAACCCAGTCCTAGACTAAAATGCATGTTTGAGCTGTTTTAACGGAAAGAAAGTTGCACTGGCATGTCTTAAAATATGTCAGTGTCATTGCTTTCAAGATGTACACCAGTAATTTATTTTTCTAAGGCACATTTATAAAAGCTACTAAAATGTCCTAATTGAACCAATGCCTAATCCTGGCTTAATCTAAGCCTTGTCTGTGAAACCAGGCCTAAGTGTCAAAAAGCCTCAAAGAACATTTACATTAATGTTCATTTCTGCATATACTAATACATTTTTAGCATTTCATGTTGTATAAATAATTAGAGTATTATGAATGAACAAACATAACACTGAACAGTAGTATATTTATTAAGAGTTACTTTGATTAATGAATAGTTGTTAGTTTATGATACTCATTGAATAAACTAATTGAACCTCATTATAAACTTTGAAAGTTGATAACTTATTTTGTTATTTTAACTTGCACTATGCAACTATGCATGCATTGTTAGCTGAATTTTGTTATTTGCTCTGGCCATTGTATTAAAGTTGAAAAGTGTGATATGTTATATCTTCATGCTGTCTGCTGTGACTCACTCATTTGTTAGGCAGGGCACCTCACTGGTGCCTTTGCTGGTGGTGATGACCTCTCTCTTCACCCCAACTGTCGCCCCATCTTCATCTCTGGCCAGCAGGTCCAGAACTTCATTATTATAGACCTCCACCACGGACATCTCCACCGTATGACTGTCCACTGGCTTCTCAGAGATCAGCCTGTGACATATATCAATACAGGCAGACACTCAGCTATCCTGCGTACAATATTGTAGATGAGTAAAACGTACAGTGATTTTAACTGTGCTGTGAAAGGGATGTGAACTGAGGCTTACTTAAAAAGCTCATTGGCTGCTTTTGGAATGATGCCCTGTTGAGCGACCTGCACTGCAGCTGTGAGCTCCTTAGACTGGGAGCCAATCATTGTGTGTGTCTTCCCACTGCCCGTCTGACCATATGCCATGATACATACATTATACCTGAAATGAAAGAGATTTATAGTATACGTATTATAATCCTTACAAAGACTCCCTTTGACTTTTTTGGCAGTGTTGTGCCAAAATTGGTGACCTAAACAAATCTGTGACTAGAGCTCGCTGTTCACTACATGTTCAAGAGTTTTCTGTCTCATATTCTCAAATGTCTTAGTTGTTTGCAACCTAGCAAACGGAAATAGTTGCAAGGAAAAACAATCTATTTTCTTTATTCTTGTTTTATTTTATTTTATTTTTTGTTGATTTGTATAATGCCACATTAGGAAGAATGTACTTTTTAAAAAAGCACTATAAATAAAAACTCTCTAATATTCACCAAATTCTCAATTTTTACCAACACTGTGTTTTTATCTGCCACTGTCTTTACACATACACACTTAATCACTCATTTTTTTTACATTTTTTTTTAAAGAAGCATGTGGTAAAACTAGGAATCATTTCTACTTCGATATTTACTGCCATTTCAAAGTGTTGTACATTTTTCTAGATCACAGCAACAAGTAAAAAATATATTTGTTTTAAAAAATATTAAAAAAAATATTCAGTCTGTCCAAAATAATACTCCTACTAATTAATAATATCAACCAAATAGACTAGATTGTTTTATTAATGTATTTCATGCATAAATTACAATTAAAATAGTAAAATCATGTCATAATGTCATAATGATAAAGCAAGCAATAGCACACAGGCAGCTTGTCTAAAAATATTATTTATTCAAGTAAATTAATCTGTCATACTCCCAAACCACATTTATGGTAATGTGCACGAGCACCAGGCACGTTCTCTCTAAAACATTTAATAGACAGTGACCTCTAGTCACAGACTAGTCTAGGTTACCGATTTTGGCACAACAGTGGAACAAAAATAGACAAAGTAACTGCCACTAATGTGCGTAAAATGTAATTTACTCAATGTTAATTTATGTATATATTATTTTTATAAGCATCATTTGATTGCAGCATCTTCCCTAAGCGAATAGTTAAACTTGTTTGAATTAAATAGGATACTCACCCATCAAGTAGAGAGGTTAGAAGGGGTTTCACCTCCTCAAACACAGTCTCTTGGCTGTCTTCTGGACCATGTACTCTGCAAATCAAACAAATAATGGACACATTCTACATCACCCTCCACCAAAAGCGCCTGTTTCAAATGTTCACATTGTATGCAGTGTGCAAATACCTTTCAAACTCAAATATTTTGTTCATTACAGGACTTGAGGTTTTGGCGCAGTTCACAAAAACAGAGTCCTGCAAAACAAAGATGGTGGTCAGAGATGATTATTCCAGGGTGTAGGGTGTAGTACTGGGCCATTACGATTCATAGACCCCATAAACTACACTACATATAATCAATTCACTCACATCATTGATGGCCTGCACCACTGCTTCACATAATGAAGACCTTAAAAAGGAAAATGAGATTAAATGAGATTTAGTACGCCTGGCTACAGCACATACATCATTTCCTAAGCATGTGGTTTCTGTATGAAACAATGTTTTTATTTAAATTCCAGCACATTTTTACTCTTAATTTACAAATTTAAATTTGAATGTTCTAAATGAATCCTTTTATTAATTTAATATGCATTAATCTACCGCTATTCTTTCAAAATATATTTAGACTACAATACCCATTGGTTGTAGGTGATCCTGGGATGTGGTCAAAGTGCAGAATTGGACGCACCCTGCAGTGAACCCTGATATTCCCCCTCAGCTCCTACAGAGAGAAATGTGTGTGCTGCTTTAACTATTTTTTTAATGGAACTAAATCATCCTAACTGCTTACACGGTATTAAGGTAGAAATTGGTCTGAAATATTTTAAATATTTATTTCTGAAATATTCATGTGTCAAGCCACAGTAGGTAATAGCATAACAGTGTACTACATCTGGACTTGAAATAAATGGCAACACGTTACCCTATGAATACATTAAGAACAGTGAATCAAAGCAGAGAACCGAGTACGTACAACCAAGGTGTTGTGGAGCAGCCTCCTCCTCACTCGCTCCTCTCTACACTTCTCTTTCTCTTCCTGTAAAGAGTGCTCAAGTGCAGTCACCTGAACCCGGAGCTCTACGGAAAACAAATGCAACAAAAACTTCTCAACTATCTATTTGTTTGCATTCAAATATGAATACATATAGAAACCTCTAATCCATGGAACCTGCAGTCAGACAACATAATGACTTAAAAACAAGTTGATGTTGTTGGAAAGAATCTGTCCGAAGCCAAAGAAGAAAAAACATGAAGAGAAAATACTTAAAAAGCACAGAAATAAGCAACGGTGTGTAAATCACTTATTTTTCTAACACTGTCCAATAGCTACGATACACCAAAAAAATGAAGAGTGTTTGCCTTTCTTGAGCTCCGTTCTAGTAATCACTTCGCTTGGTTAAATTAAAGGTAACTATATCTCTGTGACCATTTGATGACTAATGGTCAGAAAAAAGGTGACTATATTGAACAGAGCAACGACATTTAGTAGTAACAAACAAAACATACACAAAATATGCTTGTTAATAATCATTGTACTTATTATTTTTTAATGTTTAAAATCACATCAGCTTTGATGAAATGAGACTTTGATGTGATTGGTTTAATAAATATTAGGTTTATATGCTTTTTTAATACAAATAAAGTATTTTTTTTATTCTTGATAGCTCCGTGTGTGAACCAAGGAAAGATCTAATAAAAAAAATAACATTAATTTATATTGGACTACAAAAAAAGGACCACACGCCACTGGAAACAATATGTATCAAATAGTATCAACCAACACAACATCACAAGCCAAACTTATATAATCACAGTGGACAAATGCCAACAACCATCACCCTAAACTGTTATCTTTGAGTGTACACTTAAAAGCCTTTAGTCAGGAACATATTTTTTCATTTTCACTTGAGACACAGTGATGAGCGTTTTGGCTTGGAGTTTTACAAATACAGCTATATAAATGACAAGGGATAAGATCCACAGGCCCTGTGGGAGGCCTGTCACCATGGAGTGCAGGTGACGCACGGGACACATGACCGTGTTGTCCCTGCTGACAGCAGCTTTTCCTGGAGGAGAGGCTGGGGGAGGGGATCCGTGGATTATCTCTGAACACTGCACCACATACCTACTGTCACAACACGGATGGTTCTGTGATAGAGACGGAGACAGATGAAGGAAGAGACAGATGGTAAAGAATGAAGGGAATGAGAGCAGAAGATTAAATAGAAGAGGAGATGAAGGTTGAGGGTTAAGGTTCCCAATCCATGACCTTGCCGTATGACCGTACGTATATAAGTGTACATGCACGTAAATATTAAGTGAATGAGATCCGTTAAGTGTATCTGGAGGTGGAAATATTCACAGATAATGCAGATGAACTGATGTATTGGTATCTGAGTTCACCTCAGTAAAGAACACTCACTCTGAGGGTCATCACTTTGGAGATCCTGAGTAGCATTTCTGGCCGTGCCAACACATTCAAACAGCTGCTTGCTTTGCTCCTCCAGCTCTTTAGCAAACCCCACGTAGATAGTAAAAACATCCTTCAAGTCCTGTTTCAGCATCTGAGAGCAAGACAGACCACACAATGATGCTGAATTTGCAACGGATTGCATTTCAAAGCATTTGTAGAATAGGATTTGTTTCAAAACAGTGTTTTTGCAATCACCTGAACTTCAGACAGGAGTTTGGAGAGAGTTGCATTTGTGGACTTCTGCACTTTCCGCTGCTGCTGATGTTTCTTTCTATGGGCATGAATTTCCTCTTCCCTCTCATGGCGAAGTTTACCCAAACACTGGAAGTTTAGGAAAAGTGAATGGGAAACACATCCAAACTGTTCAATACATTTACATTGCTTTTAACCTTTCAAAAAGCATTGTGGAGATGTTAACTCAATGGAATTTTGATACACAGTTTAGAGTGTTAAGTTGGAGTCATGTTTTTTTAACCCTCTGGGGTCCTTCATTTCAGAGTCACACTCAGGACCTTCGGGTCCAAATGGGCCGGAAGGGTGGGATTAATATTTATTAAAAAAAAATCATCTTTTTTTTTTTTTACTTGTTTTTTATAATATTTTTTCTTTTCTTTTTTGGTGTTTTGAGATAATTTCAAAAATAAAAATGATTTATAATTAATATTAATGCAATAATTATGACCCATTTTTTCCCCATTGAATATAATAGAAATTTAAAAAAATATATATATTTTTTTTTTTTTAAAGCTGTATGTCATTTTAGAGTCAAGCCTAGGCCTCATGAAAGCAATTTTTGAAATGAGATGGATGCCATCTGGTGGACAAACTGAGCATTTTAAAAATTCAAAACCCATATGTAATCTGAATTTATTAGTGTGTATGTGTATAAAAGTGTGTTTGTGTGTGTGTGTGTGTGGATGTGTCTGTTTTGCACTCTTGATGTTTTATAGATTCACCCCTTCACTGTTGTGTGCTTTTTTTCTGGATCGTGGCTGATTTGTAGTTTGTACGCACAAAATAACTCTGTATTTTCACATTTTTGCCAATTTCCCATTCATTTCCTATGCGGGTCCATTTGGACCCGAAGGTCCTGAGTGTGACTATTTTTTTTACAACCACTTAGACTATTCAAATCCTGTCCCCAATTTTTTGGGGTGTTCATATGCCAAGTACCAACAAAGTCACCAAATTTCGGACCATTCCGATAAAGCAATGATTTAAAAAATAAATATATTTAAATGCTTCGGGTCCATTTGGGCCGAAGGACCCCAGAGGGTTAAAGAATTCTCTTATGCTCACCAGGGCTGCAATTATTTGATCAAAAATACAATAAAAACAGTAATATAATGAAACATTATTACAATTTTAAATCAATCTTTTCTATTTTAAAATGTAATTTATTCCATTGATGACAAAAATGAGATTTTCAGCATCATTACTTTAGTCTTCAGTGTCACTTGGTCCTTCACAAATCATTATAACATGATGATTTGGTGCTCAAGAAACATTGCTTATTATTAATGTTGAAAACAGTTGTGCTGCTTAATATTTTTGTGGAAACCGTAATACATTTTTTTCAGGATTCTTTGATGAATAGAAAGTTCAAAAGAACATAATTCATTTGAGATAGAAATCTTATGTAATACATATTTCGAATGGTAGTGTATACCATGATACAGAATCATATTTATATACCATGTTATTTACATTGTTCTCAAAGCTACTTAAAATATTACCATAATGTTTTCATAATAAATCTCCAAAAAAAAGATTGGTGCTTTTTGGTATATTTTTGTATTTCAGTTGTATTTTGTCTCTGGTCTGTATTGCATGCCCGGATATTAAGCATGTGAGTAAATTAGGTGAGACTGGTGAGCACCTGTCGTCTGTCTGCACTCTGCAAGCCACTTATCTTGCAGTGAAACCATCTGCCAGGTCAAACTCTTAACTGCAGCGGAGGTCGACCACCATTAGGGAAGTTAGATGCATTTCACACTAAATTTGCTAAATAGATCCATACCTTAGCGAGTCTCAAATGAAGGAGAGCATTCTCTGTTTCCAACTCCAAAATATGCTCCTCTTTACTCTAAATAGAGAAATAGGGAGAGAGCTTTATCATTACATTTAAGCATAGATATACAGATGTAATAGTAAAAACAACAGAAGTCAAATAAAATAAATGACGACATTCATCAGCCATCAACAAAACTTAACTGACACACATGTGGACGTGTCTCAAAATCTTAGCGGGTTGCCTACCGAGACAACACCTTTTTTTTCTTCAAATGAGCCTAGTATAAAGCCCAAAATGCTGTGTATCCTGGGTCGGCATCTTACTAGTTTTTGAGACATATAACCATCACTTACAAACAGTGATGTGGGTAACGCATTACAAGTAACACGAGTTACGTAATCAGATTACTTTTTTCAAGTAACTAGTAACGCATTACTTTTAAATTTACAAGAAAATATCGGAGTTACTTTTTCAAACAGGTAACTCAAGTTACTTTGTTTTCCCATGTATTGACTGACAGCTCTCTTGTCCCTATGTTGACTGAAATCGTGAGTAAGGTGCAGTGGCGTTGTGTGCGCTGTGAAACATGATGGTCATTGTTATTCTAGACTAAATGTGAGTATGCATTTACTCATCTTACTTGCACAAAAACAGATTCAGTATTCCTCAAAATGGATAAAATCAGTGAAATGCAAACAGAATAGTAGGCAAACCTGCAATAATTAAATTACACAAATATACTTTATGTGGTTAATAAAGTGAGATTAAATTATGTCTTTGCTGTTGACCTTCGATGGTCCAATTCAACCATTAAAAAGCAAAAACGATTCTTCTGCTATCCAGAATGGCAGTACAGCTGAAAGGTTTGTTTGATATGAATTTGTATTTTCTTCTGCCTGAGGCTTATTTATTTCATTTGCCAAAAATATACATTTTTGGTTATTAAAAAACAAACAAGCAAGCCCAGCCCAGATGAGAAAAAGTAACGCAAAAGTAATACTTTCAAATAAACGCAATTAGTTACTTTTTAGGGAGTAACGCAATATTGTAACTTTCCCCAAACACTGCATACAAAATACAAAAAAGTATGCTGGCTGTACCATGGTACATTAATGGTATGAGAATATAGAACGAGATGATATACTGAATGAGTAGTACCATATTCCTATGCCATGGTATTCTAATGTGCTTAAATGAAAACCATAGTATTAGCATGGTCTATTAATATTATTACTGCATAATAGCAAGCTACTTTTTGTGGGTGGCTTCACACAACAACAATAAGAATATGGAGGTCTAGTGACTAATATTATATTATATTATATTATAAATAAATATATGATATTCTATTATATTTATACTTTATTTACAATAAAGTCTTGGCAATATAACAGCATAATGATCATAACGACAGTAGACATGTCTGTAAATCAAAAGTAAAGGCACGTCAAAGTGACATAAACATTATTTACAAGCCTAACAATTTTGACATTCAGGTTATATAAGAAGAAACTCACCCGCAGTTTGTGCTCTAGGAGGTGGACTTGATGAGCAAAGATCTGGTCTCTATTAATAAAGAGCGGCATTGTGAGTGAGAGTAAAAACAGGATGTGAATTAAGCATTTATCGTACAGTGGTGGTGAACTGTACATAACGAGCTCGTGTGTGGTTTGTCTGAAGTGTAATCCGATTACCTGCCTGGCCTGCGCACACTAGCCTATTTGGCGTCCTCCTGTTAAGTGCCTTCTGATCTATTTACCATGATGAATATCGTTTTTCCATGTTCTCAGAACAATGTATGAAACTTTATGTGCTTGTATTAACAATGTGGGATTGATATGTGAATTTTGACTTGTTTAAACCCCTCTAGACTTCATGACAGCAATCACATCATACACTGATCTGAGACTCAACAACCGGCCGATGACGAAGCGATTGTCATAAACGCCATTTCAGATTTGGCGCCTCCTACTGGTTACTTTATCAATCACGCCGTTGCATCTCTCACAGAGGTGATGTCGATGTCAGGTAAGGTAATATGGGGCAGATTAAATCGTTGGAGTACTTGCCTCAAAATGCCACAATAGTACTTGAAATATATGAATATAATAGTTGCTAATTGCAACATTTCATAAGGTTAATGTTCCTAAAAAATAATTGAACATCTAAAAGTATAGCATCATGACTTGCTAAATAACTATATTATTTTATATTAGAAATAACTTATTGTTTACAATGTATAGATTTACTGACTGATTTTACCTGAATACAGTGATGTTGGGCTTAAACAGTTGTTTTTGATGTATATTTTGAACATAAAATGATGGCAAAATGCCTGACTCAAATCACAAAGAGCTATCTGTAAAATGCATAAACATTTCTAGATGATTAACCAAAAAAGTGGCCCTGTATTGACTGTAGGACACATTGCTCTCCATTAAATTCTTTATTAGGTGGAGAGATTTAGAGTACAGCAGGCTAAATATGTAAACAGCTTTTCCCCTGAGGTACAATCAACATTGGGAGAGATTATTAAAAGCAGCCTATTGGAAGCACAGGATAGAGGCTAATTTTGCCTTTTGGCACATTTGACATTATCTAAGGCAGGTTTCTATTGCACAGTGTAAACAGGTCCTGTTCTAAATTTACAAACAAACTGACTCCATTCAACTGATCGATTACTACACACAGAAACAAACCACACCATGATTTTCATAATCCAATCAGGTTATCATTGATATGCATGTGTAATACATGGACAGGCCCAGTTTAAATACCAATAAAAGTTCTACTATAAGAGTAACTCGGCAACAATAGACGATTCACACACAAAAAAAAGGAATGTCATTAAATCTGGTATACTTCAATAAGTCACCTTTATGTAGCACAAATCACTAAAGACTGAAGGGAATACATTAGATTTAAGTGCAAAATACATTAGATACACTGATACATTAGAGATAATTTTACACCAGAAACCAGAACTGGCCAATGCCATGTGTAAATTATACTACAGGTTTATATTACTGACTTAATTATGTACTTTAGTGTCACCATAGCCTGTTAAAGATTTGTAAACATGTGTTTTGAATATGGAAACTGGTCACAAGGCCTGATTAAAAGCACACGATTACAGTGTGGTAATTTGTTTATATCAGCCCTTATTCTCTCTCTATACACATGGCAATCCCCATTCCACCACCTATACACAGGGAAGCGACCCCTTTCCGTCCCCCTGTCCTCTGAAGCGCATGGAGCAGGGTCACCAACACTCTACAGCCAGACATCCCAAGAGGATGTCCAAGAGAGATCGCACCTCCACACACATTAACCTGAAGGGAAAGAGACAAATGAAGTGTTAAATTATGAAGCACACACATGGATATGTCAAATAAATACTTAGGAACCATGTCGTAAAGGTTCAAAATTAATACTAGACGATCCACACAGATATATATGTAAATACAGTACATGTGTGTGTGGATATATATGCATGTATAAAGTGGAGGAAATCACACACCTTGTCAGGGTTTAGACCGAGCTCCTGTACCACTGCAATGGACTGAGCAGCAAACGCTTCATTTACCTCGAACAGGTCCACCTCGTCTAGCTTCCATCCGGCTTTTTCAACCTGGTTAGAAAGCAGATACAATTCACTTCAAAAAACACTATAACTGCTAGTGCAAAACAAATTGGCTTTTAACAATAAATTGGTGAGGACTATAGCACAAAACATTTTGATTGAATTAGCTAATGTTATCATTTTCTCCTCTCTTGTAAGTCACTTCGGATAAAAGCGTCTGCTAAATGCATAAATGTTAGTGATATTGCATTACATTACATTATATTATAAAGCACCCAAAATAATTTCTAAAAAGTATCTTGGCTCAAACAAACAATATAACAGCATAAAGCATAACACACACACACACACACACACACACACACACACACACACACACACACACACACACACACACACACACACACACACACACACACACACACACACACACACACACACACACACAATTATAATTATATCATATCATAGTATATCAAATTATATTATTTCTCATTCTTATATTAATGGACAATTCTGCTCAACGTTTTAGATTTATTTGAAACTCTAAATCTGGGTCTTTAATGGATTATACTGGTCCTCTGAGTGCCTGTAAGCATAGTGTGCGTTTCAGGACAAAGCACTGATTACAAGCATTCATTCTTCATTCATGTGGTTGAAATAAAACCTGTGATGACTCAACAGACACTCACAGCTTTTCTAATGGCTGGAATTGGCCCTGTGCCCATGACTGAAGGGTCAAGGCCTGCCTGAGTCCAGGAAGTGATGCGTGCCATTGGTTTTAAGCCCCGCCTCTGGGCCTCTGATTGGCTCATGAGAACAGTAGCTGCAGCTCCATCATTTATGCCTGTTAAACAAAAATCATAACAATGGAGAAAAGCACATTAATGTCTCATCTGTATGCAATGAAGATGTCATAATCGAGTGTCAAAGACGTCTCCGTTTACCTGATGCATTGCCAGCTGTCACTGTACCAGAACCATCCTTCACAAAACAGGGCTTCAGTTTGGACATGGCATCAATATTACTGCCATGCCGAGGAAACTCATCAGCTTTGACCTCGACTGGACCTGATATGGTAACAAAGGTTTTATTGGAATTTATATTCAGTCAGAGATAAATGCAAGCTTAAGGAGATAAAACAATCCACTTGGAAAAAGTATCTGAAAACAAAAATGTACTTGAGAAACTAGACTCCGAAAATACACCTTCAATTAATTTTAGCTTTCTTAGGCAACTTTCTTGTACCAAGCATAAATCTAACAAAATTTGTGAGGTTTATGCTTAAAGTGTTTCTATGATTATAAAGATGATTTTACTAGTAAACAAAACAAAAATACTGATTAAGAAAATAAGTTTTTTTTTTTTTTTTGCAGTACAATGCTGCCTCGAATGAATTCACTACTGTTCTAAGGTTTGAGGTGAGTGAGTTTTTTTAATGCAATTAATAGTTTTATTCAGCAAGGATTCAACATTGACAATAATAAATAAATATTTCTTGAGCACCTAATAAGCATAATAGAATGATTTCTGAAGGATCATGTGACACTGAAGACTGGAGTTATGGCTGCTGAAATTTTTGCCATTACATTACATCGTAGAAACTGTAATATTGTGACGTATTTATTGCAGTTTTTTTATTTTGAAACTTTTAAAAAGAAGTGCATATAAAACCTTTTTTATTGAACGTATAAAAGGGCCTCTTGCCTTTCCTAGAGGGAACAGTGACTGGCACAATCTCCTGGTCAAAATAACCAGCCTTCTGAGCTGCTTCAGTTCTGTTCTGTGATGTCACAGCAAGCTGGTCCTGAGCCTCACGGGACACCCCCCACTGCTTGGCCACATTCTCCGCTATCACAGGCACACAACCAAAACTAGATCAATTATAATATTAAAGGGCACAATAAAGCTAGGCAATCTTTTTTAAGAAATTACCCGTGAATCCCATGTGGTAATTGTAAAAGGCGTCTGTGAGTCCATCAGTCAATATAGAGTCCTGCAAAGTAGCATCTCCCATCTTCACCCCTGACCTCATCTGCACTATATGAGGAGTCTGACAGAAGATGTTGCATGGTTATCATTAGATCAAGATACATGTTTTACTAATGTAGACTCAAATGTGCCTTCTTTTTACTTTAAGATTAGTGTCATAGATATCTTACCCGACTCATGCTCTCCATCCCTCCTGCTACTACTATCGTGGATTCTCTCGTCATGATGGACTGGGCACCAAGACATACAGACTTTAGGCCAGATCCACAGATCATCTGACAGCTCCATGCGGGCACAGAGTATGGGATACCAGCACCAACACTTGCCTGGCGGGCAGGGTTCTGCCCGTGACCTTAATAGAGTCAAAGTAGGAGAAGCTAAGGGAGGACTCTCAATCCACAAGCTAGAGTACACTACATGTAGTGCTATATTATTACCTGCAGTGAGGACATGACCCATGATGACCTCCGAGACCTCTTCTGGCTTTACATTGGCCCTCTTCAGCACATCTTTAATGACTAATGCCCCCAGATCATGGAGGGGTACACTACTAAGTGCTCCATTGAATGATCCTGTGAATAAAATAGGCTACACATATTTGTTCTGTTGTTTTAACTGAACATTTACTTATATTTAATTAATAGAATTTAATGCTAGAACATGAAGGGATCATATTTAAAGAGCAAACACTCCATGTGCAAATAGACAGATATGTGCAAACTAGTTTTAATTCTATATTAGTATTATATCCTGTAAATTATGTGATTATAAGGTTTGGCTGACCCTGACCAATCATAAAATTTCTCCTGGCCATGGCGATACAATAAATTGACCAATCAGAGCTCGAGAACACTGGGGAGAACGCACAGCAACCAATCAGAGCAGCTCTACGTTTCTTCTGCACCATAGTGAGACACTTCAAGACTGCCGTGTAGCTAGATCGTTAGCTAATTAAAATAAACTAATAAGACACATATTTTGATGGTTAAAAAAACTACAGCGAACCGACACTCTTTCATCAACTTCATCGTACAGATCATTTGGTTAACTTGTTAATTCAGGTAGTGGCGCAGGAGAGCAAACTTTCTAGTATAATCTGTCAACAAGCTGCAACAGGATAACCTAACGTTACAGTTAACAGCTACAAAGAGATGCTTAGCATCGTGTGGAAAATATAATGATACCAGACATGAGATGTAGTTTACCTATAGGAGTCCTTGCAGCGGAAATAATAACAATCGCGTCCGTGTTCATCTTTGCTGTAGCGCAGCGCTGTTGTTTTTCCCTGCAGGTTGCTCGTGTGTCTGGTGGGCTGGTTCTCTATTATGCAGGTTGTTTCAAGGAACCTCCTACCGCTGTCTCATTCATTTGATAAGAGCACGAAAGCATCATAATCGAGATCTAAGCAGGATCTAAGTTGGTTTTATTTTTGTGTAGCGCCATCTTATGGCGTGGACGGTTAACAAAAAGGGCAGCAAACCGTCGTCTATGTACTCTGAACTTAAATAAAAATCAGTTTAATTAAAGTATTAACGTTACTTTACATCAGAAAAACATTACTTAACATGCTCACTATATACACAGATTTCAAAGCATTTTTACTGCTTTTTTGGGGGCATTAAATAGATATAATAAATCCAAGACATTGATAAACTGATGGAATGATTTTGATAGAATTTATCCAAAACAGAAAATCAAAGCAAGGTTTGAGTCATATTAAAATTCTTTATTGATATTTGGTCAGTACATGAAAATGATTGAAATCAGAATTTAACAAGATACATCTCAAAAAACTACACACAAGTCAAACAAAAATGTCTTCTCTCGTCATGTAGAGGAACAAAAAGTTCAACATCAGGAAACTAAGGACTCTCTGAACTTTCAGCTTCAAGACTTAATTGAGCTTTATGATACGATACATCACACGTAGCTAAATGATTTCAGAGTTCTAACGAGAGAGCAAATGAACAGTACAGAACCAAGTGTTCATATTACTTTGACAGTGGAAAATGGTTTAAAAGTCATTCATTAAAAAAAATTCAAATATACAAACACAATGTTGCTTTTTTTTATATAAACGTAATCAGCTTTGAGCATCTTGCAAATGCACTGAAATAGGTTATGATGGGAGGTTTGGTAGAAAACAAAAATGATGCAGTTGACCATTTCTCAAACAAGAACTAACTGGCCTGAAGTGTTTTTTTTATGTGACTTTCTTGTTTGTCATGAGTTACTTAAAAAAATGAACAAATCTTTAAGAATGTTACAAAACAGACCCTGTGGAGGCATTGGTGGCAACTGTTGCTGCAGATGAGTCCAGGCCATTCTGAGTGCTGTGCCGCGTACCCGCAGTCCTGCTGCCTTTGGAGACAGCAGCGGCCTCATGGGAGTCAGCATTGGAGTCTGTATCATTCGAGTGCTGGGTCACTGATGTCTCACTGCCCGTAGGTGAGTCCACGCTCTCATAGCCTGCACTTAGCTGAGTCACGTACCCTTCTCCGCCCCTCTGGCTCACAGCATCTTCTGAGTGGTTGGAGAGTTTTGACATACCACCATGGGTGGGGCTGGAGACAGAGGGCGATGGTGGGTAATCTTCATCTGCACTGCTTGCTTCCCTATACAGACTGGAACCAGACACTCCCCTCTGAGATGAGTTCCCGTTGGCGGGTCCATTGGACACCCTTCCGCAGTCTTTCCCCACATTTGAGCTTGAGGTGTTCATAGGTTCACTTTGAATGGAAGGTTCGGAGGCCGTTGTAGGGGAAGTTCTGCTCGGACCAGCTCCAGTAGAAGTGCCTGGGGTTTGGTTAATCTGAGTCATCTGCTGCCTGGTCTCCCTCAACTGCTGCTGAAGAACCAGAATGGTGCTCTGCATGCCCTCCACCTCCTCATCCAGCTGAATAATGAAGTCATTCAGCTCTGGACCACATAAAATGCAAAGGAAAAAAATAAAGTAAGTGAAGTCGATGTCTGTTTAAAACCAACCATTAATGGAGTGGATGACCAGAGAAAGGCTTTGGCTCACCATCTTGGCTGCTCTTGAGCTCTTCGCTGTACTTCTTCTGCAAGGCGAGCTCGGCCTCCAGCTGGGCGATGCGCCCCTGAGACAGCTGCCTGCCCAACTCCTGATTCTCCTGGATCAGCATGCGACATTTCGCCATCAGCTTCTTACCAGTCTGGCTGCAAGGGAAACAAGTCTAACATCACATCGTGAACATGGCCACAGGGAAATACAAGTGGCCACTGCTTTTATGAACTGGGTGGTAACATTAGCCAACCAGAAAGAGTTTACAACAAACTCTCCATTGACCAGACTGGTAAATATTGTTGACCAGTAGAGTTTACATGCACCTAAGAAAATGGCTTAGTTCTGCAGAAAGCAGTATTCTGAAACTAGTAAACATGGTTTAACACACTTGGGTTTCTGTTAAAGAATGTGTCTTATTTAGACATGTTAACGCATAAGTAGGGTTTCTTCCAGCTTTTGGAAAAGTGCACATGAAAAAGATCAGACAACTAAAGTAACAACAGACTGGAGAAAGCCAATTACCAATCATGCCCTATGTATAAGCATTTTAAGAATGCACTGCTAACACAGTGCAAGCAAGCACAATGACTGATAAGCAGTTTACTTGTGTGCATGTAAACGGTCAACGACAAACAAGAAAATCAAGTAACAGTTCAAACAATTCTGGGAAGAGATGAGTGAACAGTTATCAGACCAAATCAAGTTTAACCATCAAGTGCAATACATCTGAACACATCTAGCATGGAAGCATTCCAATAGGCCATTGACCAAGTTGCAAAACCAAATTCATTAAAAAAAAAATCTAAAAGCAGAGATGTTCACAGATTCAGTTAAAATTAGTACCGGTACCTACCTGTTAATCTAAAACCAGCTATGAGCAACAAGGCAATGATTGCATCAACTGAGGCTTAATGCTATTGTGACTGGTCATATACTAAATGACAGCAGGTAAAAACTTATGTTTGACATTTTCCCAACAGTAGGCAATGCAATTTCTTGTATTATCATTGAGATAAAATAACTGCAAAACTGGATGTGCAAGAGCACGTCATTTAAATCAGCAGCATATTTTACTCTTCTATTTCGGGGTAAGTAAATGCAACCCTTTTCTACTGAAAACTCAGCAGACTGTACTGATATATTGATATACTGTACAGAGATGCATTCAGTACCATTCAACCTTGAATGCAATGGTCACTAGGATGTTTTGGTGTTAAATACAGTAGTTAGTAATACTACTGTCCTCAAAATAAATGACTTGGAATAATTTCATCATAGCAATTGCTGGCATTTAACATTTAAGCGCAAATAAAATGTGAGGTAAAAATGGACCATTTCCTTAAACTGGTTCAACATCTTTTCTGGACAAAGTGCTGCTGCTAACCTCCAATGAAATTTCTGATGAATTATTTAATGCCACTTTAGAGCAGACAATATTTCAAAAGACTTGGTAACAAAGTAAATTACCTTAACCAAGTTGTTTTCATAGCAAAGTAGAAGCTCTAAAACTACTCTTGAATCACACAGATTTTAAATGCAGCTATAAAGTCAAAATGTACCGTAATCTCGCCATAAAATAACTACCGAGCAAAATACCTGCAAAAGAATTAAACGTGACCCGAGAGAAATAAACAAAGTAATTAAAATCCTCACTGGGTGAAAGCAAAATAAAAAGTGATTAGAAAGGTGCACAAGTTAAAGTACAAATTATCATACACAAGACATTTGAACAGCTTGAATAGTTTCCTCTAACACACATTGGACATTTGCATTCACATTGAAAAGGACAATTATGTTTGCATCTGCAGCAGCGCAACAGCCAATTTAAAATGATTACCAAGTCGGTCAATTCATTTCAACCACACTGCTGTAAATGCAAGGTGCATTTCCAGAACAAAACAAAGTATAATATTAAGAACACAAAAAAGTAGAAGGTTTAAGACACTGTACCGTATGTCGCACCTGTGAGATGAACATATATCAAAGTCTTTGCAGATCAGAAAGTCTGATTCCTTCCCCAAAGTCTTACTTCATAAAGGCTTCTGCCCCCAAAGTCTTAAGATTGCTTAACTCCTCCCCCATTTCATTGGATCACACTACATTCCCACCTCCCTGTTACATTCTAGATTCTTAACCAGAGTCTCAAGGTGTCTACGATGGAGTTTAAATGGGGGCATATTCCTCTGCAACACATTTAGTAGGGCCATGTCATGTTTTAAATGTTCAATCAGTGATCTTTAAACTACAGTTCAATCAGCTCCAGAGCCAACGCTTTGCTCAAGTCTTTCATAGGCCGCCTTTTTTTGTTACAGGAAGCTTTCTAACATGGGCTGTTGGGGCTGGAAGGGGGGGCGTTTCCGACGTGACCACCTCTTCAGGAACAGTCCCGATTCCTTCAGGCTTCTGTACCATGAGGGGTGTGGGGGGGAGAAAGAGCTGAAACAAAAGTGTCACCTGACCAAAACTGTCGTGTTTTGTTCTGATTTTACATTACGGTATGTGTAATAGCAGGGCAATACGAAAGAAAAATGTCTTTTGTTCTGAGCTTTGGCTTTAAAGTCTGAGTCTCGTTGTGAGCAAAACATTTCAGTCTTCCCCCACCATTATCTGCACTCCTGCAGAGGAGAAGGTGGGGGTTGAATCAGGAAAGTCTTGACTTTTTGTTTGGAGGGGGAGTTATTTTAGTTTACCTATCAGGTGTAAATTTCCAGGCACTCAGTTCATTTTGGGCTTGCTCCAGTTTGTCTTTAGTCTGTTCCAGTTCAGCCTTCATTTTGAGGAAAAATAAGTTGATGGCTGGGTCCACCATGGACGATCTCAGCTGAGCTGCACTCGGTTGCTGGACTTGCTTCAGGTACTGGATTTGGGTCTGCAAGGTAAGAGAGACCATTAGAATGAATCTCAGCATGTAAAAAATGACAAATATCAACGTCAATGAACACAAGTGATGTCCAGTCTGTAAAAAAATAAAACAAATGGACTCGTTAGCTCTGAAGCTAGTAAGGTTTGAAAACTCCAGACCTTTACAATTCACAACATTTGGTTAATAATTACACAAGTTTTTATTACTCTATGCCAGCTTCTGTGGCTATTTTCATGGCGAGGAAAATTTATGTTACAACTAAATCGATTTTTAATATCATTTGTGCCTGCAACGATTGTAAAAATTAGCAAAACTGACTGTGAAAGTTGCACTTAAAGGTCCCACATTCCCAACCAAAATTTGCTTTCCTTTTTGTTTGCTGTTCCCATGTTGAAATGCTGGAAACAATATTCTCATTTCTGCTTCCGTACAACAACTTTGATTAATTACAGTGAGCATTTGTATGACTAACATTTGGAAACACATTTGACTAGAACACAACAGCAGCTATTACTTAGGTAAATATCCAGTGATGCTTCACAGACAAGTCAGTACAAAGGACAAATGCAACTGCTGCGTGTAAAATATTTACACTTATATTCATTTAAATTCTACATCCACATGCTTCGGAAATGGAAGCATCTACTACGGTCCATCCGAAACACATTATCATTCAAGCAAATTGACCTATTTCCTCCAATAAGAACTGACCATGAAGCAGAAGTAAAATAGGAGATGTAGTAACACACTTACTGTACAATCTTGCATTTCCTGCTCTTTAGTAGCAAGCCTCATGACCAGAATGTTCTCCCTGCGTGCAGATTCCTGCTGTTGCTGCTTCAACTTCTCCTCAGACTCTTTCAGGCCTGTCACATCATTGGCTGCAAACATTTCAACATTAAATAGGTGCATTAGTTATCAACATTTTATTTTCTGCACAACAGAAATATAACATAACACAAAGACGGAATACTCTTAGAATGAGTAAACCACTACTAAGACTATTAATAATTCAGAACATCTGGGATGTGCAAACTTACAGTTTAAGTCAGCATATTTCGCCTCAAGCATCTGGACATAAGCTTCATGCTGCTTCCACCTAAACCAGGAACAAAACAAATCAGCTTTGCAATCAGGAAAGCTTCCACATACATATACCCTAAGAGATTATTGCACACCAGAATGGTTACACACCTAGTACAGAGCTCCTCTCGGGTCAGGGTCTTCATGTCAGATTCACTAAGGCGAACCTGCAAGGACAATAAATAAAGAATGAAGATTTATAAAGGGATCTTGTTGGCGGTAAGAGATTCATATAATCAGATTAGACTGCGACAATGGGCTCACCTTCTTCGGGAGAGGTTCTTCATTGGTCATTCTGATCCCTGTGAAGCACACAAATCAAGCATTCGGTGAAACAACTCAAAGATACACAGGTTTTTCAAGCAACACTATGCAGCAATGGTCTAAAGGCAGTTGCGTGGATTTCACACGCCTACACATGTTCAATTACAAATATAGGCCACGAAGGCGAGCGATTATCTCGTTTTTATAGAATGCTACAATTGCAATAATAAAATGCGCTTTAAATCAAGCATTCGCACTAATGTATTAAAAAAATAATGATCGTAAAAACTCAGTGCAAATGGAGAAAATTAGTTGTTCGGTTGGAAAAACGAAACTGCTCCATTAATCGGGTTTACTGCTAAAGCATTTCTTGCACCTTTTCCACGTTTATTTTTTTTATATATATAAGCGAAACAGCAAAGTAATCTGATCGGCCTCCAACGAATATAGCTTATCATTGTGTCAAAAAAACAAAAACCTTGTTCATGGAAAAGGAGTTCGCCAGTTTAAAGAGTGTTAACGTTACATACGCTAAACGCTGTGCGCTGCAAACAATCGCGCCAATCTGATAGTATCACGATGCACGTTACTGTCGGGGGAAATGTGAAGCTTAAGTTGCCGATAATGCATGTTTTTCTAAAAAATAAAGTCACTAAATTACCGTGAAAGGCCGCGGAGGAATAAAAATGTGCCGGCGCCTTCTTGTAACAGTTTCGCTGTCACAAAATGGCGGAGAAGGAAGAGACTCTCCCTCTCCGAGAAGCAGCACTTTATCTCGAATAACAAAATAAAAACTCTTAACACTTACCAGACCCAATTCACTTCGACCAGAATGACGCGTATTGTTTTCCAATAAGAGATCTTAAGCGCTTATGTTGACTTATATGTTTCTCGGAAAGGGGGCAGCTACGATTTTTATTTAAACGGAGTGGAACCCGTCCGCCATGACCAGCGTGTGCGCGATGTTGTTCAGCCGCACAGCATCAGTGTGTTCGCGCGAGCGCCGAGGGGGAGGAGCACGTTACCATACAGTGTTGTTGTTGCCATGTTGCAGTTGTAGTCAGTGAGAAATCTCTATCTATCATTTTAGTTAGTTAAATGTGACAAGTATACACAAACGTGTGTATAAGTATATACAAACTTCATTAATTTATATATATATATATATATATATATATATATATATATATATATATATATATATATATATATATATATATATATATATATATAATTGCTTATTAGTGCATGATAAAATAAAAAAACTGTGCTTGACACCGTAACACATAAAGTGAGTCGCAAGTATACCCACATCATCATGTTCGGGCCACCACATATATAACAAAATGAAGTAATGACATTTGACATGACATTATTAATTACTTTAGTTTGCGCCTTCCTTTCGCCCAGTTTAGTTTGTGCTTCCCAAAGAGGTCGCTCATTTTAGATTTGTTTTTCAGACCATTTTGCGTGTTTATCTCGCAGGATCTGGCAACACTGGCATTTTAATGTTAACTTTACGTTGACGTTTACCAACCAGATACATGTATGAGCCAGTGCATATATGTTTTTCATTACTTATATGAGGAAACAATAGATTCCTTCGTCATACAAAGGCTTGAGTAATTATTAATCCACAGTTGGTTTGCTCTTGCACTGTTATTTTGATATTAATCCATATTGCTCAATTACTTGGATTAAATGAGGGATATCATTATTTTTTTTTACAATCGTCATTAACCATGCATTATGTTCTTAAATGAAACCATTTATTTTACTGACTACAACTCACTGCAAAGTAAGGCCTAGAATGACTGGCTGAATTATACCTATTGGCACAGGGGGTGCACGGTTTTTGCATCCTCTTTAACTTACACAATACAATTTGCATATCTCAACTGAACGAAATAAATCTTTTAAACAGCCTCGTCTAATATATGACATGTAAAAATCTTTACCTTTCAGCCCATAACCAAAGAAAAAATTAACACTTTTGCGTCTGACCCCTATTTTGATATAATGGTACGCTCTAGTCCAAGTTGAAGTTGAATTTCAAGGGCAGGCAGGTTGTAATGGAGCGAGTTTAGGACTGTTGATGTTCAGTGCATGTGGCGTTATATGACGAACTGGAGTATGCTGTGCAGAGTCGGATATGCCCGCAGGTAAAGCTTAGTTAAGTCTGAATCAGCTCTCGTATGTCTGTGCAGCTAACTGAATAATCGGTGTTATTAAATCAGCTGTATCAATAAACGGCGCACTTTTATGTGTTTGGTAGAGCGACCAAGCTAACAGCATCATACTATTAGTTGCGTAACTGACATTACGAGTGCAGTTTTAATCAGTGATGTGGTAACGTTAGATCATTTATTTTTCATAGTCTGATATTAGTTGATTTAGAGTTGTGTACGTGTATTATCGGCTGCCAAACAACAGTTTTGCTTGTTATAAATATCTAATCCATTAATTTTGTGTAGAGCTAGATTTGATTTGAACTTAAAATAAAATCTAGCTCTATAACTTAACTGTTTTGTCAGTCGTAATGAACTTTATCAGAAGGCACTCAAATATATATATATATATATATATATATATATATATATATATATTTATATATTATTAGTTTGGCAAAGTACTCTGAACCTGAGTTTTTTTTTTTTATTATTCCACATTTGATGATCTCTTTAAAATATATATTTTTTGTGTGTAAGGACTCATTTGTATCCTGTGAGGGAAATACTAAGCCTGAAATCATACAGACTTATTTCATCAAAGTTTTGAGCACTCTAAAAACGAATTTTGTAAATCAATGTACCCTATTTCAAAAACCTCTGCTCTGGTCACCTGACTGCTGCCATGTAGCAACAATCCAGTGTGAACTCAACTCATCACAGTAATCCAACCTTTTTGACTGTTACCCTGCCAAGTTGTTGCAATACTTGCATCCCTCATATAGACAAATATTTAATAGTTTTTCTTTATTACTATTCATTCTAGGTGCGCTGCCACCTTGAACCCTATTTTGGGTGCTGTGTCCTCTAGACAGAAGCACACACTCCCTGACCTCCCGTATGACTATGGTGCACTTGAGCCTCACATCTGTGCTGAGATCATGCAGCTGCACCACAGCAAGCACCATGCAACATATGTCAACAACCTCAATGTCACTGAGGAGAAATATCAAGAGGCACTGGCCAAGGGTAAGTACAAATGCTATTGCTTTTATCATAAATGGGCCCGATATTGGTTCTTCAGTTGCTGGCCATTGTAAGAAATGTCACTCAAAGATGATCAGAAAAAAGCCCATCCTAAATAAAGTTCCTGAATTAAAATATTATTATTGTTAAAGCTGCAGTCTGTAACTTTTTTGGGTTAAAAATTATCCAAAATAAATTGAGCAAGTACATAACCAGCCAGTGTTCAAATCTATCTGTTTGCCTTAGCTCGATTCAAAATGGTAAGCTTGTAATAATGTTTTTAATTCCAGTGGTACTGGTGGATTTCCACGGGAAATTCGAGCATGTCTTTGCATCATTACGTCACATCTGTATGCATAAAGGAGTCTCGGCTAGTAGGCTATATTGCATGTGAGGATGTTGGAGGTGGAGATTTATAGCCTTTTCTCACAGCATTTGATATAATTAAACTTATTAATTTGATGGCGGTTCCAGAAAGGTTCAAACGACAATCACCGGTGACAACTGGAGATTTACCCGTTGTAAAATGCAAAAGACTTTGGACTTCGGAGAGGCTACAGAAAAAAAGAGACTGCAGAGCCCATGCGAAAACAAGGATAAATATCGGAAGGGCACTAAGTAGTCACGCAATGCTGATGTTGTACCATTAGCAATTTGAGAACAAAGTATAATTTGCACGGTTTGACGTGATATGATAATAAGCGATCGTTCGATTTAATCAGCGCGATTTACTGCAATGCTTTTTTTCCCTTAGTTGTTCAGAACAAAAGTGGACATACTTACTTGTTCAGATGACATTTTCCGGTGAAATTCCTTATGCTGGTCATACATCCAAAATGTAGAATCTGTGATTCTGAATGACAGTATTCAGACCGGAGCGGTGACTGACAGCTGCACACTCTCCTCAAAACATTGGATTCATCCGCGCTGTACCGTGCCGAGGCACAACCCACGTAAAGTTGATCATTCCGCGAATAACTGCAATTGCAGATTTTGAACAGAGATGGCAACAGGAAAAACTACGGACTGCAGCTTTAACTAAAACTATTAAAAATCTCTTTAAAGGTGCTATGTGTAACTTTTCTTCTAAAATGAATCCATTTTTTTATTGCCTGTGTGTGAAGGGGTTGTAATCACACATTACAATGATCCACTTGTCGGGTTTTGCTATTACCTCTGTAGGCCAGTATTCCTATTTCTATGTGAAGTCTCCGGGTTGGATTTTCTGCGAAATCCATCGGATGTGACGTGCATGCGCGCTCCCGAGCCTTTCTCCTTTTTATATACAGTCTATGCGACGGCACTGCAGCTAACGACATGGAGTCTGATAACACCCAAAAACGACCTGCCTCCAGCACAACACGGACTCCAACACAAACTCCACAAGAAAAAAGTTTTATCTGCTGAAGCTCGTCAGGCCAAACGTCAATCGGATCGACTCAGGACGAAAACACGGATCAACATCGGCAGAGCGTTTAAATTATGGAGAGACCTCCGCTTTGTTTTAGATACACGAATAGTTAGTGAAATGCCTTGTGCTAGATACACCACATGTCGGCTAAATGCAGTCAATGTAACGTAATCATGGTACGAGCATGGAGCATTAGTTCAACGTCAAGCTGATAAAAGTAGCCTATTATTGTAACGTTGCAGTGGGAGTTTACATGAGTTTCCAGCATGTTGTGTGATGCTTTCTCCGTGATGTTGAAAGTCTCAGTGTGGCCGGTAGTGAGTGCTCGCTCTTGAGTTCGAGCACGCACACGAGCACGAGCGCTCTTGTTGCAATCTCCGCTAAAGGCCGCTAAAAACTACATATAGCACCTTTAATTGAAATAAAGCTGAAATAAAATAAAATATTAGATGAAAAAAATTACTATAAAATATCTAAACTTTAAAAAAAAAAACTATAAATATAAAAGCTAAAATGTAAATATAAAAACAAAAGCTAATTCAAAATCTTAATAGTATACCAATAATACTACAATTACACTGCTTTATACACCTCATTTCCTCAGACAACTTGAGGTTCACTTACAAAGTAGGCCAATTTAGTTTTCATAAATGGTTCAGTGGAAAAAATGTTTACATTTACTACGTTCAAATGACTTCGAATTGTCTTCATTTCATATAACAAGTCTTCAGGTTTGCTCTTGCTGTTACAGGTGATGTGACGACCCAAGTCTCCCTTCAGCCTGCATTGAAATTTAACGGTGGTGGTCATATTAATCATACCATATTCTGGACAAATCTGTCCCCGAATGGTGGAGGAGAACCACAGGGTGAGAGATTTCAATCAGCTTACCATGGACAACTGTCTTAATGTGCATGTGTACACGTGAATGGATGTCAAACATGATGAACTTGTATTCATACTGCTATTTCTTGTCATTTATTATGAAGTATAGTTGTATATGAAAAGCCTTTGTTTCTTTCGTATTACAGGTGAGCTGTTGGAGGCCATTAAGCGTGACTTTGGTTCATTTCAGAAGATGAAGGAGAGGATGTCAGCTGCCACAGTGGCCGTTCAGGGCTCAGGCTGGGGCTGGCTGGGCTTTAATAAAGACAGTGGAAGACTGAGAATTGCTGCTTGTCCTAACCAAGACCCTTTGCAGGGCACTACAGGTAAATATTCCTTAAGGAACGGTAGAGAATAGATCTATTTTGGTAAGGTATGAATCTCTAGAGTTGACACTATTTTTTCCATACACTCTTAACAAGACCCTCAGTGTATACACATAAAATGCTCCAAATTTATTCACGACAGTCGACCATATCCACCTTATTTTTCAACTCGGAAGTAAGCTGTTTTCTGTGAATGTGTGACACTTCCGATTCATTAGCTGCTATAGGTAAATAACTAGAAGAATATCAAAGTGCAGTAAATGATAAAACTATTTGCACTACAAACCAGTGTATTTTACAACAATACATTAAAATAGTATGGTAAGCAATTCCATTTTGCTGTATAAAGCAGCACAAACTGTTTTGTACAGCTAAAATAATTGGAAGCATGTGACACAGGAAGCCAGGCACATTCAATTTACAAATGGCTGCGACTGCTCCTACATTAAAAATGTGGTGGATATCCCTATATATAACAGTTGTATATGTTACTTAAAGGTACACTATGTAATTTTTGGCCCTCTAGTGGTAAAAAAAAAAAAACGTATGCATTTTGCAGAAGAACATTGTTTTGATTGTGCTTGGGCCCTGCGTGACTACAGATTAGGGGTGGAACGGTACATGTATCCGTACCGAACCGAAACGGTACGGGCGTCACGGTTCGGTGCACGAATTTACACGGAGAATACACGGTATAAAAATAAATAAAACATGCGTGGAAATTAATTAATGTAATGCTTAGCTCTGAACGCGCGTTCACTTCAAACGTTGGCTTATACGCGCGTCCTATTCGCTTTGGACTAGTGTCGAACTAGACGCGATAGACGCGAATTTAACGCTCTATTTGCGTTTGGTGTGACCACATAATGAACAGGCTGCGATGTCAAGATTGCAATGCTGGAGTGTGTGTGTGTGTGTGTGAGAGAGAGGCGCGGCCACGATCGAACAGTGGAAACATAAAAAACATACTCCGTCATTTTGTTCACACAGATCATTAAACCTGCAAAGTGTTTACTTATATTTGTGTACACTCGCAATAAAACACAACATTGTGCTTTTGTCACACTGTAAACTCTTGTCAAACTGTAACCTACAACTGTCACCCAACCAAACTCTCTCTCTCTCTCTCTCTCTCTCTCTCTCTCTCTCTCTCTCTCTCTCTCTCTCTCTCTCTCTCTCTCACACACACACACACTGTTTTAAAAGCAAAACATATTTATCCAACTCCATTTCAAAACAGTCTGTGGGTCCCATCTTTTGGACATTCATCGCATTGGTTTTCATTTCTCGTCCTCGGAGCACTAATCTTAAACATTCTACATTGATTATAAAAGAAAATCGAATGTGTTATTAATGGTAGTATTATTTTATACATAAATCAATTATTTATAATTCAGATGAGAATAATGTTACATTGTTAATTAATAATGTTAATTAAAATTAAGGAAAACAAATATATTGATCTGAAATATAGCAAATTAATTTTAAATTAATTCAGGTACAATTACCAAACATATTGCAAGGTCTTTTTGTCTTTTTATCAATTTAATTAATAAACTAATTATATAAAACTATTGTCAGTGCACTACAAATAAACTGGTTCTATGCCTTTATTAATAAAACTTATTTAAAAAATACAATGCCTTCTGCAATTTTGTTTTGCTTTTCCCTCCATTGTACCGAAATCGTACCGAACCGTGATGTCTGAACCGAGGTATGAACCGAACCGTGACTTCTGTGTACCGTTCCACCCCTACTACAGATGAATGAACATTCACAATAGATAATGCTTTAAAATGAACTCCGTTAGAGAGCTACATATGGCAATTTATCTATTAAGAAAAATACCTTACTCACCTGTTGGGTAATGAAAACGCCATCTCCGCGTCGCTTTTACAACAATTCAAATCCCCTCTGTTCTTTATACATTTAGCTTCTCCATGTCAACCTTTCTTAAAAACACGTTTTGGAAGAAGGATTGATGTATTGACCAGGGATGTGATTCTTCCGGATTAATCCGGAATTCCGGTTATTTCAGCCTAAAATCATGACCCACGTGAATCATGCAGATCAGTAATAAAAATGGTGGTGGGGGGTGTTTGGAAGTTTTGGGAAAGTCATTGTAATTTTTTCAAAATATTTATATAATAGAATATGTTTAAGTGATACTATTAGTTAAACTACAATACTTAACGTTACACGTTACAACGTATTTTTGTTACATACAAAAATAATATAAGATGTATTTCCTTTACATTAATTCAAGTTCTCACTACAAAAGATCTTTGTCAGAAGTGGGATTTGAACCCACGCCTCCATTCGGAGACCAGAATTCTTAACAACTGAGAAGGTTGATTTTCCTTGAGTCTGGCGCCTTAGACCACTCGGCCATCCTGACAGAAACATCTTATTTTGTTAAGGTCAGTCATATCACTGTCCATGGTTAAATACATACAAAAATAATATAAGATGTATTTCCTTTACATTAATTCAAGTTCTCACTACAAAAGATCTTTGTCAGAAGTGGGATTTGAACCCACGCCTCCATTCGGAGACCAGAATTCTTAACAATTGAGAAGGTTGATTTTCCTTGAGTCTGGCGCCTTAGACCACTCGGCCATCCTGACAGAAACATCTTATTTTGTTAAGGTCAGTCATATCACTGTCCATGGTTAAATACACACAAAAATAATATAAGATGTATTTCCTTTACATTAATTCAAGTTCTCACTACAAAAGCTCTTTGTCAGAAGTGGGATTTGAACCCACGCCTCCATTCGGAGACCAGAATTCTCAACAACTGAGAAGGTTGATATTCCTTGAGTCTGGCGCCTTAGACCACTCGGCCATCCTGACACATACATCTAACTTTGTAAAGGTCAGTCATATCACTGTCCATGGTTAAATACATACAAGAATAATATAAGATGTATCTGTATCTGTAGTGAGAACGCCTCCATTCGGAGACCAGTTAATTCGATCCATCCGACTACGGCATTTCCATCAGTTTTGCAGCGTTGAGCATTTTAACCAATCGCACACGTTTCCGTTGAGTTTATGAGCGTGATGACCAATCAGAGGCGTTCAGATTAGTCATCGCTGAAACGAATAGTTTTGTTCAGTGCGCTGACTGAATTCTTCTGACTTCCATCATAAACAACAAAGTGCAGATTCGATGTAAGAGATTCATGTCGCACGTTTCTGTGATTTTTAACGGGAGTTTTGTGCGTGCTTAAACTCGCGCTAGACCCAAGTTATGGACAGCCTCACGATCGTTCCTGGCACTGCGTATCTAGGCCTATAGCACGAGTGCTTTTATTAGGCTTGCTCTTTATACGCAAAAGTAATACGTGCATCTGGTAGGCAAAAAAAGTGTGTATCATATGTAGCCTACGGCGCTAAATTGCTTATAAAAGGTCATTTATGCGTATAAAGAGCACGCAAAGCTCGATCGGTCACATTCTCTGCTCCCTTTCTGTTTACAATTTATTCCAGTTAATATAATTTATTCATCATGCTGATAAGATTGTGTAGTCTTCATTTTCTAATGCGTAAAAAGCATTAATATAATTCATAAATGGTTCTTAGGTTGTTTTATCTGTGTAGCCAGAATGATGTGCAGTTTACCAAAACACACAAAAAAACATTTTATGTTGCCTATTCCTATTGTAGAAGTTTGAGTGGAATTTTATTTACTGAATGAGATTGATCGGTATTGGAAACACAGTTGTTTTCTTTACAGAACAGTTATCGCCCTTACATTTTCCCCAAAAATAAGTTAAGACGTCCTGTTTTGTATTACTAGAAATAAATTATAGCTGTTAAATATATTTCCATGTGTGTCACTCATCACAGTTCCTGGTAGTTCATGCAGTAAATGGCTGATTCAGGTGTTTAAAAAGTGCTTTACGCTGGGTCTTGCTCGCACAATAACATCCCTGATTGACTCATTAATTAAATTATTGATTTTGAACAAAAAAAGTGACATAGTGTACATTAAAGGTAAAGCAATATTCTGGTAGACTCCATAGAGAAAGAAATCAGCTGTTTTTATAGTTGTCTAAAACTATAAAAGTCTTTGAACTTTAATATACCCTGTTTTCTTCTTAAATTTGAGGTCTCGTCCCACTACTTGGGATAGATGTCTGGGAGCATGCATACTATCTTCAGTACAAGAATGTTAGACCGGACTACGTTAAGGCCCTCTGGAATGTTGTGAGCTGGGAGAATGTCAGCGAGCGTTTCCAAGCTGCAAAGAAATAAATTGGGAAAAAAACAACAACAGAATGTCCATTTATACCTTCGAAGCGCACAAATAACCAGATCACATTACAACCATCAAACTTAACTGAGACTCTAGAGAGGCTTTATGGTTCTTGACAAGCTCATTTTACACACAGAATTGTGCATTGTAACTCGTAGCTTGCATTTTTGTTGAGTCGAAATCGACAATATGTACATTTGTTATCATTACATGCAAATTAAAAGATGAACTGAAGTAATCTTTGATGTGTTTTCTTGTTATGTGTTGTTTTTATGAATTTTTACCCTAAATAACATTTATACAAATATTAATAATATAAAACGTATTAAATAGAATGTTACAAGTACTAATATAAATCATATCAAACTTAATTATTTTAAAGTTGACCATCTCATTCAGTGCAGTGAGACTGGGATTTGTTAAAATATCTTTTTGATAAACTTGCTTTCACATCGTTTGACCTTTCATTTAGAAGAGTTTTAAGTGTGCGTGAAGTGTTCTTGTAGCAACAGCAGAGGGTGCCAAATACAAGCAGGTTTAAAATATATGGAGGGCTTTGAAAGAATGGCTGAATAACCAGACTTGAATGGATTTTGCTTTGAAAAAATCTCCCATAACTATTCTTCCACAAACTGAAAGTGACGTGACTGTAGTGGTGATTGTTTCTGTCAGTTGTTTTGTCTTTCCCACTGGCACATGATTTTAAGAAGTGGCCCTCATGTGGCTTTTGTAATCAAATTGTTCTTTTATAAGTGCTTTATTACTATTTTCAGTTGAGAATTGACACAGACTTTCAGGGACACCAGATCAATATTTATTAAAAAAAAAATTACACAGTGTTTTGCAGTTTTCATGCATTTCAGGGTGCTTCTGGGGTGTTTAGGGAACGCAGATGCATTCGTTTATATCGTGAGAGAAAATTTAAGAGACAGCAATTCCTCAAGGTGTCCAAAGCACAAGCACTTTTGAGATATAGTGGCCAAGTCAAATGGTCTAAAACAAGTTTCTTTTTTGTTTCATATCTTAATCAAATTGTTCTGACTAAGTCCTGAGACTTGCTTGAAAAGCATTTCAACGGTTCTTTTATTTCCTTTAAAGTGAAAATACAGAGAAAACATTGTGATGGCTTTAGAGTCTCCTCCAGTAAAATGATTTTCTTGTTTTCCTGCAGGTTTATGCATTTGCTGTTTGGCGATATTGCATTGGCAGTAGACAGTTTTCCTTTTGTTATTGGCCAGACTGAGCTTTTTGATCCGGAGGGCTCCCTTTGAGTCCATGTGTTTGGTGCAGTTTAAAACTTTTATTAACTTAGAGCCCGAAAACACGACCCTTGAGGATGGTGAACACAAATTGAGTTTCATACACCCACTCAAAAACTCAACCTGTTTTGAGTCCGATTTCTCTCACTGACATTTCTTGCGTTCAGCGCAAATTAAATTCACTTCTAATGAAACGTGAAATTTGCTATTAGTAACTTAAGACGATTAGGTTCTGAGTCATTAAACGGAGTGTAAGATTGATCCAGAAGTCCCCAGGCACTGACTTTACTTTGTTAAAGCCCTGTGATCTGCCAAAGCCTGATGTCATTCATCATCAATTCACTGTGAGACACACATTTGATCACTTTAGAAGATGCTCAGGTTGTGGCTTCCATGAGGGTTCAGGTGCAGCAGAAATGTCAAACGTTTTGTTCTCAAATTCTGCCTGCTCATTGGAAAAACCCTTTAATGCTAGTCTTTTTGGCATGTTTTGGTGTGGCCTACTTTTTGCCTCTTAAATTCAGAGTGCCAGAGTTTGCTTCCTTCTACCAGGGCTCGTAAAGTAGACAGGCTTGCAGTCAAGAGTAGAGTTTCTTCAGCTTCTGGAAGGAAAGAAGGAAAATACCAACATCTATTCATCAAGCTCAACCCTCCCTCTTTTACCAACCTATCTGTCTGCTGCTTATTTTCTAACACCACCCTCTCTTTTTCCAAGATCGTTGTGACTCTTTTTCTTGTGGTCTCCTTATTTACACACCACATAAATTAAACGTTTTAGTGTTTTCCATAATAGATTGATTGTGTCGAAAAAGTCGAAAACCAACAGCCTTTTGTCAGTAACACAACCTCCGCCTCCTCTCGTATTTTTTTTTTATACTTACTAACTTCAATTTCCCTCTTTGGCAGGAAAAAAAAGTGTGTCCATGATCAAAGATAGTTGCACATAACTTTATTTAAAACTCCCAACTAACAGAGATGCATATTGCTTCTCTTCTCTTGATGATTGACACTCTCTTGTCAATTTTTGCGTCAACACTGGTAGAATGCGCAGGATAAATGTTCCTCTCAGACTTTAATATGCTATGTCTGAAAATAACCTTTCATTAAGGACTGTTGCGTATAAATGGGAACATGTCTGCTCTGTAATCATAACAGAGGAGGCAGAAAATACATCTTTTGACCCTCAACCTGATGTTATTGTCTCTGTTCTGCACAGAAGAAATGTTTTTCCACATGATCCAGTGACTCTTTGAGGCATGTCACACAGTGTGGCGTGTTTCTTTTCGACATATTCTCTATTTTTATTGTTGATAGATGAACAAGGCGCTTTTGCCCGACCACAATTACCAATATGGTGCTTATAATGGAAGGTTTGGGTTAGGAACAGGACCATGTTTTCTTTGCGTTAAATAAAGTGTACCATTATTATTTCTGAAAGCTCAATTGCGTGGTAGACCAGGGATTCCTATTGAATCAATTGTGCCTTTCCAAACAGCTCCAGAAGTCGTTGTTTCTCATTCTGGAATTCAGTACATTTCTCATATATAATGTGGTTGCTTGACTACACGTTATGGTTCCTCATGTGTTCCAAGACCAAAGGAACCATCAGTGAGAGATTATGCGATTATCATGCTTCATTGTAAATTTTCTCAGTCAGTAGGGCAGCACTGTTGTCATTCTGTAGCCATTAATATACTAAATGTAAAGCACTTGTTCTTCTAGCACAGTGGTTCCTAACTGGTTTTGTTTCAGGACCCAGAATTTACATCGGTATCAAGTGGCAACCCAAAACAATACCAAACTTGTTTATAGAAGAGTGAACAAATTTATTTTTATATTTTTTTGTCTTATTTTAGTTTTAGTAATTTTGTTATGTGCTTCTAAAAGTTTTATTAGGTTTTTTATTTTTTTATTGGTTCTATACAACTATTTTTATTTCAGTTTTAGTCATTTTACTTTGACTTTTTTGCTATAACATGTCTAATTTTAATTTAAGTTTTTACGTTTAAGTTTTTCATCCTTCTTACTTTCTCCACCTAATCAAGCTTTCATCATACCAGTGCGTGCTTTAGCTGAGTTTAGATTAGTAGTTTAGTTTGACAAGAACAGAGATGTTCTGTATCTTTGCTTGACTCTGCGCATGTGCACATTGTCACATCCGTTACTGTAGTTTGCTCATTAACATTGACCTGAGAGAATGAGTGCTCTGGGGTGCCTATTTTGCTGTATAGGGCCCCAGGTTTCTGTTTTTATGCCTTATCATAAAACTTCTTCCTCTACCTGGCACCTAACCGGAAATAGCAATTAATCACATTGTATTTACACCCTTTATGTGAACAGTTTCCATTTCTATTTATTGCATTCTGATTCAAAGTGCTCACAGTATCAACACAGGAAGTAAATGAAAAAACACAAGACAGATACAATTATAGAAAAAATAAAATTGTGTTTAACTACTGATGTTTTTATATATATGGGGTTGATTTTTATGTACATATTTTATGAAGAGATTTCATTATCTTTGTAATTTGTTGGTCACCTTAAAACTGTCATTTATTTGATAGATTTTTTTTTACTTGTCACAGACTTTCAAATAAAATTAAAATTAAATGTTTTAAATGTTATAATTTTTTTTATGATAATTTATATGTAGAGTGAAATAAAAAATCATTTTAATAGTTATTGTGTGAAAATCATATATATTCACATGTATTTATATTTATTCCTGCATATACAAATTGTGACATGGGTGCAGTGTCATTTCCACCAAACTTTCCTTTTAAAGTTTGTGTATTTGTTCACTAGGAAGTGTGAAGCATTGTGAGCTGTCAGTGTACAGTATATTTGAGATTAAATATGATGCGTTCTGTGTGAAGAAATTAATTTGTGTATAATCGCCAATCAAGCTATAGCATATATTTTATTCTATATATTTGTGTTTTTGTTTAGGATCCATACAGTGCTAGCCATGAAATTAGCTTTATCAAAAAGTCAAAGGACTGTACAAATGTACATGTACATGATGTTTTTAGAAAATTTACAGAATTCCACTGTGATGCATGTAGGCTATACAATATTGTTGTTTGTAGAGGTCAAAAGTGCCCAAAGTTGAAGATCCTTCCAAAAAAACATCTGCGGTCAGGGCTAAAATTGCATATTCAGATTTAGTTGCACAGGTTTTCTGGCAGGCCGAGGTAAGAGATGTTACAATCGCATCACTTTCAATAGGAAAAACTATGAAACTATAGGCCTTTTTAATACACAATGCTGTGTTATTTAAAGTCTGTGAGTCAATGTTTAAATATTTGTGTGTGTGCGCCACAGAAATGTGCATTTCTTGTAAGTCAGACCTGCTTTAGAGTTTACCTTGAAAGAAATGTACAATTACTGAACAGTAAAAAAGCTCAGTTCATAAACATTGAACAATCTCTGAGTAGCACAGCCTTGCAAGCAAGAGAAGCAGCTTAGCTTTTATCTCTCACTCACATGTCATCAGAGAACTCCATCATAAAACATACACATGTTCAAGAGATTTACCCTGCCAAAGAGAAGTGAACGTGGTGAGATCTAAAAGAGAAACACCTGCCTAAAGAATCAAACTTTCATCCACTCACGTTCAGCACTACTTTGGGGAAGATGGATCTGTGGGTAAACTTTCCAGCTAATTAGATGGAAAATTGAATTGTTTTACTTTGAGGCTTGGTCCAACATTGTTCAAAAGAGGCTTTTATGAGAGGTCAATGTGATTTTATGTGTAACATCTGGTTTTCAGTGATCTGATGGTTAACATGAAAATGCTTTGGCTCTCAAAAATGCTTATATAATTAAGGAAAACACCAGTATCTTCCGATTTTTCAGATGGTATCACACAAGAAGAAATTTTTCAGCATAGCAAGTCTATGACAACCATAAAACTCTTGTCGTGTTTAAATTGATCCATGAGTTTAAAGAGCAATTGGGCTTTCATTTCCTACA